TTGTTTTATGTTCCCATTCGAAATTGATACAAGGGTTGCCAGATACAAGGGGATTCCTCCTTTCTGGCTGTTTTTCAAAGCTGTTGGCCGTCGAAAAATGATTTGGCCGAAAAAGAAAAAGTTGGCAGAATTTTGGCTGCATTTTGTTAATATATCCAACACTTTGTTAAAATAATCTAAAAATTGCAAATAACAAAGCAAGAAACAAAGTAAAAGATAACAGTAAATTGAAATTGAAAGCAAGTGGAAGCTTTTGTAACAAACAAAGCCAATTTTGATTACACTATTACTCCAAAGAATTAGCCAAAATGTAGTTTTTTTGCATATTTCGTTTTGCTTGCCGAATTTGGCCGTCAAGCGTACAATATTTGGCCGCTAACCATTCCAAGCATCTGGCACCCTTGGATGATACTGTCCTCGGTAAGAATTTAGGGATCCCCGGTTCCAGATTTGACCATCATTTTCCCCACCAAAAAGTGACCGCCACCTCGGAAAAATCTGACCTCTCACCGGGGCACTTAGACGAGGGTGTGAAGTTGTCAGTTCAGGATTATTCCAAGACCTATTTCTGCTGTAGAAATGGGTAGTACGGATAGTTAAGCTGGACAGTTTGGAGATCATGAAGCGGAGATGATTCTCGCTGATATCTAGAGCATTGCACATGTCGATGAAAGAGGAGCAGGGGAGACCAAAGATACCTAGGGAACTGATAGAAAGATTAACAAACATGATAGAAGGGTAGGCTGAGCTTAGGCTGTGAACGAGATATGAATATTTCTCTAATTTGCGATTAGCATTAGCATCCAAATTAGTTTCATATTCTACTGTAAGCTCGAGTATGAGTAGACGATTTTCAGAAGTGACTAGAAGTAGATCAGGACGGAAAGAGTCTCCTGTTATGATAAAGGGTGAGAGATAACCCGAACAGTGGCGGAAAATCAGGCTTTCATTTGGGGGGGGGGCCAGGCTTACAATTTTCCGACAAGATAACATCTTGGATCATGTCTCATTTTAAAGAAACTGCACATTTGATAAAAATAGGTGATTATTGAAGGGACCCTTTAGTATTTCTGCCTGACCACACCATAATTAAGTAGCAAAAAGAACAATCCATTAATGATTTTTGATATCAAGATCGATATCCCATCTAAGACAATTGATGATACAAAAGGTCGACCAATTACACTTTTTATTTTGAACATAGCTTCGGTAGAGCGTAGACGTGAATGAAACTCCATATCGTTGATTTTATCTTTAAATATATACAAAACGGACTATATACAACTATAACGTAAACGTAACTTGTTAGCCCATCATAAATTTATAGCGTGACTTTTTCGTAAATTCACTACTTCAAAAAACTTAACCTTACAATATAGGGCGTGAATATAACACGTAAGAAGACTGGGGCGAGTAGGAATCCCCCATAATGGCGTGGGCTGCGAAATATACTGACTTCACAACACTTTTGATAAGTCGTACCGTACGTTACGTATTTCATGCATTTCATCTTGTTTTCGTCAGTGGGAAATACGTTTGAAAATAACTTTTATTCGGAAGAATCCGATGGAAAATTCGGCTAATCGTTACGGAATTAAAATTAAACATACAATTCAAAAGCAGTTTTGATTTTGGTCATATATTGTTTGTTTGATTATTTAGTACTGGATAATACTTTATCAACTATGCTATGTTCAAATTTTGCAAAAAGGGCACAGAGAGGTTAAAGAGGCCCCTGGGTTACAAAGGGAAAATGCAGATCACCTGCGAGCAAAGCGAGCAGAAAATTTGGCAATTAGGCCCCTTAGATAAGCTTAAAATTCCTTTTCAGAACGATTTCTTGGAGTAATTCCGACACGTTAAACGGTTGTCAATTTTCCGACAAAAGCCCAAGCCCCTAAAACCCCATAATTTCCGCCACTGAACCCGAAAGGTCTACGTAAAGAGAGCAGTTGGGTATAGCTTTGAAAGACTGTGCTAGGAAGTTTAATGCAGTGTTATGGCACCATGTGTAACGGCCTTCTTCGAGGTATGTTTGGCAGCCTGCAACAATGTGTGAAGTAACGTTTCTCTTGCATATGGCGAAAGGAGCGATCAGAAGACTGAGTAATGTTCCATTTAGATAGGTTTTTCGCATGGCAAGGGAATTGCTAAGATATTTGATAGTAAAACTGTTCTTGGGCATGTTGCTTTGAACTGTGGCCCATATTTTAGCGACCATATGAAGAGAGTGTTCAAAGATGAAAGAAAGAACAGTACCTTGAGATGTTGCAAGATGGTTTTTATGTTATGACCTAACAGCCTTCATCTTCAATACCTGTAATTTAATTCTAGTATTCCTGTAAACATCATATTGGATGTTCATGCTCTGACTGGTATTCTTTCACAAAGATTGGATGTTTTTGTTTGGAGAAGATTTCAGTGCATTACGATAAATGACACTGCATGCAATAACAGAAGGAAGAATCAAATTAAGAAAGTGACACTTGTGGGCAAATCGATCCAATGGTGGGTAAATGTAGAGACTTGATTATGAAGATTTTCAAAGGTCCATATCTTTGATAGGTCGGCTACTGTAAGGGGCCACGAAACTTGTGAGAGATGCATTTAGCCTCTTCAGATGCCAATCCCAAGCATACACATTGTCCCCCAGGTGCTACTTCTTGGAGTTTCTGGCAGAGAGACCTTGCAGAAAGCAACAGCCCTGGTAGTCACAAGGCTCATGATACATTGTCACCAGATGTGGCAAAGAAACTTGTACCAATTTTTTAACAGTTTTCGGATTAGGATTTATTGAAAATATGTTCTTGTGCTTTGACGCAAGACAGAAATGAATCCTTCAACAGTGTTGAGAATTTGCCCCAAAGCTATTTATGATCGGAGATATACCCTGCAAACAGCTGTCTCAATGGCTGCTTGCCAATTTTCAAAGGGAGCTACATTTAAAACAGTTCTTTGCAAATGTTTAGGTATTAAAGCTGGAGAACACATTAGAAAAGCATTTACAATAAATTCTGTCCAGAGGCTAAAAATTTCAACAAAATCTTCCTTTGAGATAGCAAAGTAAAAAAGAAAAAGACTGAATTACAAGGGTACTGCCAAAGAAGTTCAGCAGAAAAAGCAAAAAGGGGAAACATATGCTGAGGGTGACTTCGAATGAACTATAGCAACTTTTCATTAACGTTCATGTTTGAATTTTCTTTTTTGCTGCTATAATGATATTTATTTGATTTAGTAAAACCAACAAGAAGCTTCAACAAAAACTAAAATACCTCAAAATTATAAAAATCATGGATAGTAATGAACTTTTGACAACATTCACTAGTTTTGCATTGTTTTTTGCATTCAGATTTTTTAAAAGTCATTTTGTCACAATCTGTTTTCTGCGTCACTGCCCGACTAGGTCACTGCCTCATTTCATGATGATTTAATCTATATAGTAAAGCTGTATATCAATTTGCTCACTATAAACTGAATAATGCAATAAAGATGTCTGTTTTGATGTATATTTAAAATGAACTTTCAAAACATGGTCTATAAGAATAATGTCATGATGAAATTTCGAGACGGCTGAGTTTAAGTTGCTTTCAAACCAATTAAATGTTAGAAAATCAGAAAAAATGACATTGTTGCACTAACCAGCTAATAAGGAATGTGTCAATATGAGTTTTATGTGAACCAAAAGTTCTTAAGCAAAATGAGGCATAGCCTAACCGAAAGAATAAAATTTCTAATGTTTGTGGGTTTACATGGTAACGATGAGCCACACTCAAAAACCAATACCAAATTTGAATTCCCGATGCAAAACTACATATGTTTGTAAATTTGTGAGTCAATAGCTTGCAAAACAACAAAGTTCACATCTCTGAGTGGTAGAGTACCTTAAAATTGATGTAAGACTTATAATCAGAGATGGGGTGTTTTCTGGTACGTGATGTAGTGATAAGACAGAACAGATTTGAACAGATTGTGATGAACCTCTCCGAAAGTTTTTTTTAGACCCAAAAATGTTATGACTAGATTCCATTGTTTTATTCGAGCTTCCTCGATTATATGTCTCGTCATTGCAGTATGTTCTAATGTACCCGATATCTGATGGGTAAAACCTTTTTGAATCTGGTGTTTTATGAAACCATTTTGTTTGAGGAAATCAAATACAGAATCTCGGGGGCAAGATGTGAAGGTTTTTAGAGGGACCGATTGGAGAGTGATAGGTCTAAAGTTTTAGGGGTCCTCAGTATCTCCTGGTAAAAAACAAAAATATAAATTATAATAACATTGTTAAACAAAACAAGGCAAAAGAAGTCATTCTTTTTTGATCCCTCGTTTTATGATGTAGAATTTTAAAAGTTTTCAATTTTTGTTTAAGAGCTTTTTCGTAGCTCATGTTCGTCTGATTTTCATTTCAGAAAAATTGATGTTGCCATAATCACCATCAATAGGTATCCATGACATATAAGTAGGATGTGGCGTATCTGTGCTTGGAAATAACCCATTAAGCTGGCAGTTGTGACATCCGTTATACCACCAGCCACTTTTATATTGCTGTGCACAATTATGATTATTGTCGCGGTCCTTTGTAAAGAATTGCATCTTATTATTCTTCCGGGCATTTTCAATATTAAAAGCATCCCCAGCTGTTCCAGAATATCCAGAAACTCGGATACGGTATCGATCACTCTCGTCGCTAATTTGGAAGCTACGGTATGTTGCGAAGAAAAGCTCATCGCCTTTAAGTCGGTGCTTCAGATCTATTCGAAGGGTGGTACTGGCATTAGGACTAGCAAGAGAGTGCATATTCTCTAACCCCATCCACATATTCTTCCCAACATCGCCAAATCCATCTTTATAATCAGACCAGCCACGGTTGAAGTCAGTTGAGCCATCAATACGGCGCTGTATCACAGTCCAACCTCCGCCGTCTGTTTCCATATCACAGTAAACTTCCAATACTTGCTTGTTCGGTCTGGTTATGTGATAAATGCCACTGTCTCGTTTACCGGTGTCGTAAAGGTCTTTGCAATCTATAGTAGTAAAAAAAAGATCATTTATAAAAGAAAAAAGCATTTTGATCGGCGGGTGTCAGGGGAGGGGGGGGGGGTGTGCAAATGTGCAGTAGCTTTCAGTATATAATCTATTGATGCTGGTGTAGCTCGTGCTGCTCGACGTTGCAAGACAGCCTGAAGTCGGACTATGGAAAGCCAAGGTAATTTGTAATATAGCTCCTATGCACAATGGTTTTAAATGTCTGCTCAGCAGGGATGTCCCTTTGCCTTTGAAGGTGGTTGGATGGATCTGTCTGATTTTTTGTGAAAATGTTTTTCTACTTGAAAAGATTCTCTCCACCTCTAAACATTTACAAAAGGTATTTCAATAATCATGATGTCCTCTTCTTCACAATCTTGTCAAGCTTCAAATTGTCAGTTATATCTCTCTCTGCAGCAAAAACTGTCAGGTTGCTCAATTTTTCTTCGTCTGTCTTGTTTCTGGCATATCTTTCTACGCTTTACATTAGGCTGAATGACCGTTTATTTGTAGTAACAGAAAAAGCATCATAAAGCTGTTTAACATAAACATGCCATCTTTCCCCTTCCTCGGACATGTTTCATTGTACGATGCGAAATGGCAGTGGAAAGAATGCTAAAAGAAGTATAAATTGATAGATGGAAACTTTTCGAACCGTTGACCGTTTTTCATTTTTCATTGTCTGTCCATACCTTGAAGTTAAAATCCACCGTCACGCCATTTTTTTTAGTTTTCTGTCAAGCTGAGCTTGTTTCTCGTATGACTTTAAACAAACGAACAAACAACGAGCTGGCAGTCCTCTTTGGACATGAAAATAGAGCGTATAAAGAATACCAACAGAGAGGTCTAAAAGAAGGAAAATAGATTCCACAGTTGTGTTGCACTGCAGCAAAGACTGTTTTACATTCCGAGGAAAGCTACGGAATATTCAAGCTGGCAACAAAACTCTACAGGCTTATTCTCACTGCAGCCCTATCTGTTGCTGCAAATAAACGGTTGTTCAGCCTAAAAAAAGATCATAAATAGATTTGCCAGAAACAAGTCAGACGAAGAAAAATTGAACAGCCTGACAGTTTTTGCTACAGAGAGAGATGTAACTGACAATATTAAGCTTGGTGAAATTTTGAAGATCAATTAATTAAGACATCATCATTATCAAAATACCTTTTATAAATGTTTAGAGGTGGATAGAATCTTTTCAGGTTAAAAAAGGCATTTTCGTAAAAAATCAGGCGGATTCATCCAAACACCCCCTACCCAAACTCAAAAGTTTCGGGACGCCCCTGGCTAAAACAAAGGTTGTGTGCACGCCTAATAGAAAATTCAACTTGGATATTAACGTGTAAACGAGGAGGCTACCGATGCAAACACCCAAGTGTAAACAGGGTCTAATTAGCTCCTCATTTAAAAGAGGGAAAAGTGAATAAAATGTGAAAAATTCACCTTCTGCTCGCGGGATCTTTTTCCACATTTCGTAAGACTTGTCATTGCTCAAAGTCCCTTCATGAGCCACAATTTCTTTGCTTCTGACAACTTGAGAACATCGGTCTTTTCTTTCGCAATCAAAGAAGCTGCGCTTTAGAAACATTCTGTCGCTATTATCGTTTCCTACCCCCTCGTTTTGAGATTGCTGAAAAAAATGACCAGCAGTAGATAACGTCGCTTTGACAATATCGTGACAACATGACGAAAAGGCTGCGTAGATGAGCAAAAAATTCAAAACTGTTGAACCCATTTTAATATTTTATCTTTGAACCATCAAGTTATATTGAACTCATCAAGGGTATGGAAAATCGCCAAATGACTTATATTGAAGGATATTTATTCAAGGCAAATAATAACTGCTTTAAAGCTACGCTTTCGGAAAACTTGTTTGCATTTATCGCTCAAAGGACTTTCGTTTTAGGGTGCGATTGAAGATTTAATGAAGATTAATGCATTATAGAGAAAAAGCCAAAATGCTAATTGCTTTTGCATCTAAAGCTTCCTTTAATTAAAAATAAACAAGCAATCCTGGGAAATATTGAGAATTTTAGGCTGTAATGAATTCATTAGCAAATGCAGATGGCTAACTGTTTTTTAGGCGAGAAGAAATGCACCGTAATTTCACCGCAATCCTGGGAATATTAGGTCAGTGTCATTTGCGTTTCTGCATGGGTATGAATTTCTGCATGGGCTGAGACGCGTATGCGTTTTGAGTGCTACAGTGTAATGGCGGAAATGGAGGGCCTAGCTGTGGGATACACAACGCGCACATGCAAACTAAAAAAGGCAAAACCATATCAATATGCTGTGAATTCACAACTAAGTACGTGGTTGTTAGAAATCAACATTTTACGTGCTTGTGGCCCTCGTATTCATATAAAACCGGCATTGCGACCTCTTTTACGTTCATTGACTTATCCATTCATTTTGCACAGATTATGGCTGTTGGCGCCCCAAAAAAACCTCAGAAAAAAATTTACAATCTGTGTAACCATGAGGGTGAACATAGGGTGCATAAAATAAGACAAAAAGCTTTCATTGCGTCAGATGTTCAATGGCGTAGAAAAAATTATATCTATATTGTATTAAAAAAATATTTCATAAATTGTCGTTAAATTTGCCTCCGTTTTATCATTTCATGACCAAAAGATGGTCATTATCATCTTCTCAACTGACCGCAATGTAGATGTAAAAAAGAGTTTCACCTTTTTTGACTATCTAGCAGAAAAGACAAGAGAAAACGGACGAGGCTTTCCAGTACAACAATCATCGGAAGATCTCAAACATAAGTGGCCTACTTATCAAGTGACCTATGTTAATATCCTTAGTTATAATGAAATGGTTTCTAGGCCTTGAAAAATCTCGAATCTTTTTAGAACTTTGAGCTACAATAAAGTAAATACCATTAATTGCAAAAAAGCAACAACCAACATCATTGATAAACAATGAAATTAAACATAAAGACGTAAAGACTAGTTAAACTAGATTTCAAAACAAAGGTGAAGCTTGTTTGTGAAACTGCCAGAAAGGTAAAGACAAGTTTAGCGATTCGTCTTTCTCTTAGAAACATTTCAACAAGAAGGTTTCTACACTTAAGTCAGTCACTACACTTTTTACATAAAGGCCAGATAAACCTATTCAAAAGTCTCGCATGCTTTATGTTAGGATATAAGCTAGCCTGCTTACTTTCTTGAGATTTTATCTTTTTATTGAACGGAGGAGAAATCATTACAATATGTACTTCATCGCCTAGAATCTGTATCCCTATAGATACACAATGCAGTCATGTGCAAAGGTTTAACATCAATATTTCTAGATTAACATCAAAATTAGATCTCTTTTTTAAAAAACCATTCTTATGTACATCACTGAAATTTTAAAATAATGTCTGTATCATAGATATATTCAGAGTGTACATAACCAGTAGCGTAGCCAGGATTGTAAGATTGGGGCAAAGGCGAGTTGGGTCAGGGAATATTGGGGGTATACACCCCTCTTAAACGCCAGAACACGCCCTTTATCAAAGATATGTTTTGCTATTTGAGGGAGGCGTCCGCTTTCTTGCTACACCACTGTTCATAACGATCGTATATAAAGTAGCATGAAAATATTGATGTATATTGTTTTTTTGGAAGAAATTGCGCTTCCTCTCAATATTTTCCTGATCTTAAATTTTTGCACTGTATTTGCAACACTATTCAGCCCTTTTTATTATATTTTTACCACAGTATCAAGTATTTTACAAGTACACTGCACATTCGTTTTGACAATTATCCAATTTTTATTAGTAAATTTGGACATACAATGACGTCACTGCTAGGGTTACTGATAATACTTTGTAACAGCTTTGTTGTGGAGTAGAAGTCTCCTGTCAGTCTTGACTTTTTTAACCAATATAAATATCTTTATATGGTACACTGGATTGATAGAAAATATGTACCTGAATTGATATGTCTAGTATAATGGATCTGACTGAATCTCATAAATAAAAGTAAAGGAATTAGGGGCGGTAATTATAAGGGTATAAGCGTTTCAATCGAAAAATTCATTTCGTGTACATACTCAGCATTAAATTGTGTACATAGCAACAAAAGACACAAGAAGCTTCCTTTACGCATCAAAAATGTAAAATTTATTTTGCTGAAGATTGTTTAATATTTTTGTTCCCGTTACACATTATCAGTTATCATCGCAATTGCCCCAAGAAAAAGTACACAAATAAAGTTGCTTCTATAGTCAAACGTAAGACGCTGTTCAGTTATGTCTAATCTTCATTTCAGAAAATTTGATGCTGCCATAGCTACCATCAATGGTTATCCATGACATATAACCAGGACTGTTTGTATCTGTACTCGGTAATAACCCATTAAGCTGACAGCTGTGACATGCGTTATACCACCAGCCACCGTTATATTTCTCTGCACAATTATCACTTGAAAGATCATTGTCGCGGTTCTTTGTAGAGAATTCCATCCCATTATTTTTCGTTATTGAATGAGCATTTTGAATTTTAAAAGCATCACCAGCTGTCCCAGAATATCCAGAAACTCTAATACGGTATCCATCAGTCTCGTTGCCAATCTTAAAGCTGCCATACTTTGCGAAGAATAGCTCGTCGCCTTTAAGTCGATGCTTTAGTTCTATGCGAAGAGTTGTGTTAGAGTTAAGACCAGCAAGAGAGTGCATGTTCTCTAAGCCGATCCACATATTTTTCTCAACATCGCCAAATCCATGTTTGTAATCAGACCAGCCACGGTTGAAGTCGGTTGAGCCATCATTACGGCGCTGTATCACAGTCCAACCTCCGCCGTCTGTTTCCATATCACAGTAAACCTTCAATACTTGCTTGTTTGGTCTGGTTACGTTATAGACGCCACTTTCTCTTTTGCCATTGTCGTACAGGTCCCTGCAGTCTTTGAACACTGATGATAATAGAACGATTAACGAAGTGAACAATTTAATGATACTTTGTGATTTAATAAATTCAAAAAAAATTAATGTTGAAAGGTAGAGTTATTTGTGCAAATTTTTTAGAATCTTTATTAGCTGTTGACAGAGCAAGATTAATCTATGTAGCACAATCAGCTAAATTTTGTGGCTTTTTACCTCAAGTTTTTGGGTAAAAGTTTTTCAAGAGATTTGCAAAGCCAAATCACTCTCTCTGTTTTGTGTGCTCGCCTATCAAGCTAAAATGCTAGGAAATAAGGGATTGTCATGCTTAACGCAAGTGTCCATAAAGAATTGTAATCTAGCTTTTTACTGAAACAAAATTAAAGGTTGTAAAGAGACCCAATATCATGATAACTTTCAAGATATGAGGTATGACACTTTGGAACAGAAAGACAATGCCAAGAACCTACCCGTAACCTTTTGCCATTCACCATAAGAACTATGCCCTTCTAGTGATTTTTCCTCTGCATTGCTGTATGTATTATGACTTGTCTTCTCTCTAACAACACGAAAACAAGTATTTTTTCGTTCGCAATTGAAGATCTGAGGTGTTAGGAAAACTTCATCGCTCTTTAGTTGCTTTTCATCTGCATTTTCAACTTTCTGAAAGAAACTGCCTGTTGTAGCAATTTCGCATTTTGCTTTATATCCGTTATGAAGTACGAACATTAAGAGAAAAGTAATCGTAGCAGAGAACTTCATTTTCCCATTAATACGCCGCTTAAGCTGATCTAAGACTCGATGCCTACATCAATCTGAAGCATCATATGCTTGCAGACACGCATTTTCGCTTTATATACAATTTTTTTGGACATTAGATATTCAATAAGGCTACCTGTTGAATACAATAATTTAATTTATTTCGCACTGACTATTAAATTGTCAAAGGAAGAAGAGTACCAATAAAAGTATGTTTACAACTTTAAATCAAAGCAAACAGTTGCAAATATTTGAGTTGGGAAACGAAATAAAATTACCAAAACTTCATTTCATAATGTATGCATAAAACTTTGTAAAAAGTACAAATTTATTGTAAACAATTTAGCTGAATCTCGTGATTCTATTCAAGAAATGACAAATAATCTCTTTTGAATTTCAGCCTTAATTGTTTTCCGGTCACAGATATTGCCGGGGAATCCTCATCGCGCTTTCTTCGGTATTCTAGTTACTACAAATTTTTAATTATTATTCCTAAACCTATTATTCTTAAATCAGCACGTTTATTTCTGATTGTGTATGCTTTTGTTACTTTACTGTGAAATTATGCAATTTGCTTAAAATCTCGCTTTGAGGCTGAGACAGGAGGTTATAAATCCAGCCAGAATCTTCTGGAAGCAAGCTATTAACTACGTCAATCGTATTCTTAACTTCTATTGGCTTGAGTAGTAGTTAAAATTAATTGTGATTGGCTAGGATGAATTTTAGTCCCGTGTTTGTTTCAATAAAAGCTAATAATTGAATCGAGAGCGGGAATTCGTAGAGGGAAATTTTTCTTTTCACGATGTACGTTGAGTTGTGTTGAGCAGAAAATCATTGAAAACTTCAATCATTTATTGAGCCTGCGTTAGCAAATAGAGATATTCTCTACATTGATGGTCCGCCGAGCCGGATAAATGGAATAGAGCAAAAGAATTAGGGAACCGATAATGGAAAATTTGATGAAGACAAAAAAGAAGAGAAAATCTCATCGCGGAACTACGACCAAGCTCCTGAATAAAGTGTGAGATGCCCTCAGGAAAAAGAACAAAGATCAGTTACGTTTAAAACAGCTACTAGCAGATCTAAAAGACAAGCCGAAGCTTTAAAAGCGTTAAATAGTGAAACTTTTGAATTTATGATCGAAAAAGCAGACGACGATGTCTGTGATAGAGAAGCAGAAGAAGCTAGCGACATCAAAGGGAAAATGACGTACAACTAAATTTCGCTTGCAAATGCATTGAATGAAATGGATTTACGGTCATTAAGATCGGAATCCGGGACAAATTTGCAACCAGAGCCCTCGGGGATTTGGCAAGGAGTGGTTCCAGAGAGAGCCTAAATTCAATCGCATCCTCAGTCATATCTGCAGTAGAAAATTGAAACTCCCAAAGCTGGAATTGGAAAAGTTTTCGGGAATGATTGCAGAATGGCCAGAGTTCTGGGATGGTTTCAAGAGTCCGGTACACGAGAATAGCCAACTTGCCAAGGTAGACAAATTTAAAAATTTAAGAAGTTTTCAAGAACAACCGGCACGAAGCATTGTGACGGGATTTGCCCTTACAGACGCTGATTATGAGTCAGCCATTGAACTGTTGTAAAGCAGATATGCAAAGTCTAGCGTTATTAAACGGGCCTACATAAATGAACTTATCAATATTGCCCCAGTCTACAATTGGAAGAGTTTACAGGGATTGCGTAATATGCATGATCAGATCGAGACACGCTTTTGCGCAATGGAGGCTCTAGGTGTAAGCAAAGCAACCTACTCCAGTATTGTAGTTCCTGTTTTAATGGGGAAACTTCCAGAGTCCCCGAGAATCGATCTGTCTTGGTAGATGACTTTTGAGCAGCTGCTGTTAGTGCGGGAATAGTTGAAGTTTCTGATTTCTGATATAATCAAGACGGACTTTGAATTAGCTAGTTAAAATACTAGAACGTGTCAAAAATAGCAGAAACCGCTAAATGATGGTCAAGCCAAAGGCTAGTGCATTTTTTGGATAGGTCGTCTCCAGTTGGCCTAGCTCATTCTTCTTCGTCGTTTGCAATCAACAGCTTCCGAATAAATAACTCAACCTTGAGCTTTAAACCGATCGCCAAAGAAAGCCTAAGACAAATAACGGTGAAGCCATATCACAAAAAGGGACATGGGCACGACATGATAAATGCTAAATTCCTAAAGATCTCAGTTGATATCATCCTACAGCCCCTCTTGAACATCATAAATGATTGCATTATTCAAGGTACATTTCCAAATTCACCTGTCTATGATAATAAAGATTCTTTCAATAAGGAAAACTATAGACACTAAATTGTCACCAAATTTTATCTCCGGAGCTGCTAGCTTCAGTCCTCATACAAATACATGCCTTCACAGGTGCAGATGGTTCCTATGGTCATTTAAAACGTCTCGGCGTTGGAGAAAGCGAAGAAAACTCTTTCTAGAGCTTGCCGGTTAAATTTATGATTTTGGATTACAGGCTGAATGTTTCCTAGAGCTTATGCAAAAGTTAATGAAATTCACCAACAAATGTATCTATCGCGCTGTATCAAGCAAATCCTTGCAGCAACAAGGTCCTCAAAATGGTTTACAATAAAGGGGAATAGTATACAGAGTCATCCTGATGAGGGTTAACGGGCACAATTTTGTCGAAGAGCAATTTACCAATGTTCCGTGTGGAGACATTTTCACGGCTTCATCTTTTTTATCTTTATCGCATGGATGGAAGTTCAGTTTAGCAAGGCAGCTAGAATCAATTCTGTCAAAATTGCAAGCAATACACAATGACATGATAGCTCTACGAGTTAATCGTTCCAACGAACAAGATGTCAGTGACAACGCATATGAATCTGAATCAGAATCCGAGTTGCTTTCAGGCAATGACGCAGAACCAGATGGTGCAACTGATACTTTTGGTGACTAAATATGGATTAACTAATTAAAAGGTAACAAACAACATGATTCTTCACATCACGATCTCATCTGGTACAGTTGAAATCATTAACGATAATGCTACTTTTTTATTTCTGTTAGGACAGTGACTTGAGCACATAACTGTTATATCAGAGCAGTACAAACAATATATTGCTTTTAATTTCAAACAGTGACGTCATAACGTAACTCGTTGACTTCACCAAAATGTGACTTAATATACTTCAATCGAAAGCTCTTCTCACGATGAGTCGAATGGTGTATTACTTTGATAAATTAGACATACCTGTCTTAAATTATAGTCGTGAAAAAGATTTTCCAGGTTCTAATTTTATAGAGTCATTTTTGGCTAACATTCATTGAGTTCAGGCAAGGAAAGGCTGGAGTAATTATTAATGGTGAATTTTTTGATGAAGGTGCTCCACTTCAGAATTTGCTATTCAAACAGACAGTTAATCGAGATTTGCAAAAAGCAAAGCGATTGTCAATTCAAGGCCCATTTCTCTACATGACTGATGTTCAGTTGAAATCCTCCCATTCAATTTTTTACAACTGGAAAGTAAGTGATTTACTGGTGAAGTTTGCAATAAAAGCACGGTTGAGTCTACTTCCAACAAACTTCACAAAGCATGTATTGAATCGTGATAATGACCCTTCTTGCCCCTTTTGCCATCAGCACACGGAAAGTGTCGCACATCTGATGAATGGATGTAGAGAGTTTCACAACTTTTATAGTCGACGTCACAATCGAATTGCTGACAAAATATTTGAGGTGATCTCAGGAAGTATAAGTGGTTTCCAGTTTCATGCAAACAAACTTGCAGAATCAATAATAACGGAAAATGGCGATGAAATACAGCGTATTACGCATCGTAAACCTGACATCATTATCATTGACAATCAGTCACGTAAATGCATTATCTTAGAGGTGACTGTCTGCTACGATCTGTATTTTGAGCAAGCACTGAACACCAAAGAGAAACGGTATCAGCCGCTGTGCAGTCTGCTGCAGGGAGGTGGATCTGAAAGTGCTTTGCTTTGGCTCTCTTGGTTGCATAAAAAAGGATGTTTGGACCGTTATGAGATCATTGTCCGTAGATCAGTTGATTGTAAAGAGCGCATTACAGTGGTGCTCGATATCAAATTTGATAATGGCCAACTATATATGGAGGCACAGGGTTAAGAAGTTGTTCATGTGAATCTATTTTCTCTCGGCCCTTGCGTATGATACAATAAGTTCTATATTACATTTTCACATTGGATGACTTCTAAATCTTGTGTCTCACAGTTCATATGAAGTTATTATGTATGTAGTGGATAACACAAGCCTAGTAAACATACCTTTCATGTTAACTGAGCTTTTAGCTCGGACACTAGGGCAAATACGAATATTATTATAAATACATGTTTGCGAAGGGCTGAATCCGTAAAAAAGTTCATTCCTCGAGGCAGCAAATTATTCAAAATTAATAAGCCGTATGTTCATCAGAAAAAATCAAGGCATTTTGTCAAAATAAAGACTGCGATTGATGTAGCTACAATTCGCAATGTTTTCACCAAATTAGAATTTAGTTTAGAACTTTTATTGGAAGAAAGATCTTATTGATAAACTTTTGACAAATCTTCTGAAATGTTATGATGATAATATAATGAGTCCGATCTATTAATATGAGGCTTAAATTTTCTTCTTTGGATTCTTGTTGACAACATTTAACTGTCTGTCATTATCCTGCCAACAGCAAATATCGTAATGCTTTTCTAAACTATGCTAACTTTTCTCATACAACAGAAAATGGTATTTTATAAATATTTCAAGCTACAAAATCTGTTTCCCTAATTTTCATTTTTCGCAGACTGTTGCTTTTAAACTTTCCATGACAGCTGGAAACGTTTCATTAAACGCCCTGCCTCAAGGTTTTCTTAATATACTGACTACCCGGAATCGGGGGGTATGCCTGCCAATGGGGTCTCATTTTAAACTGAAAATTCTGGGACTGGTTTTCCTTATTTGTCGCTCTTTAGGCTGCTCATTGAACTTACTTTTTGAAGGACAGGTCAGATTTGTCAGGAAAATGAAAGCGTTGTCCAATATCAGATAAAATTAAATGTATGACCAGTCAAATAATGTTGAGGCACATCTAGATCTTTTTCAAGGACAGGTATCCTGTCTCAAGAATTATATTCAAGGACAAGATCATACAATTATCTGAAAGGCACATCCCTGTCAAATTTATCCAAGACATCCCCTCCCGGGACTAAACGCTAGAACGGAGGTGTTATACTGACAATGACATAACATAGGTAGTTGGAAAAGAAATTGTTAAATGTTGTTACTAAGGTTGAAACATGCTGCATTACAAAATTATTAGGCACGTCTATTTACTGTGCTGTGGTTTGATATCGGCTTGTTAGAGGTTTAATGTGATACTCTTTCTTCGAAATAACATTTGAACAAAAGCAAATATAACTAACCATTCCGACCATAATTATGATTTCCACCAGGAGAAACCTGCTGGAGTTGTTCTAGCTTATGGCACTCATGTTTGGTTTCCTGCCCCGGAATCAATTGGTGAGAAAAGAGTAATTTCTCTTGACAAGTCTTTGATCGTGTCTGGCACAAAGGTCTTATTGATTAGATTGGCTGCCTTCTCTCTGACAGTTCCACAGCCACTAGCATTGACGGATTCCTCTCAAGTTCCTATTCAATTACTGCAATTATTGCTGGTATTCCACGTGATTCTTTCAAACTTCCTTTTTTATCTTCCACAGTTACAAGTATTCATTATAAACATTGACATTCCAGTTAATCGTGGTCGGGATGCAGTCGATAACGCGTTGTGGAGTAAAGACATCCATCCAGATAATGTTGCCGAACTGCTTCCTAATTAGAATCAATCTGTTATCTTGATAAATGGCGATACATCTGAGTACTCTGACGACAATTGGAACTAGAATGTTGATGCCAAAATTGTTAGATGTATATTACCCGCATTAAACTGCCTTACGCAATAATTTTATTATTTTAAAGCACTTCTTTTTGTACAGCTGAAATGCATGAAAACGACAATTTAGCACAAAAAGGTAACAATGCGTTGTTCAGAAGTCCGCCGTATGAGATCAAGTTTCGAAATCAGCGTATCCAAATTGATGAGAATCAATTGATTTACAACTTTTTGTTCCACGTTCAAATTTCGATAAGAACAAGGTAATAACATGAAACAGAGGCTTCCTGGCACCGAATTTTCCACGTGTAACATCAATTTTCGTAATCAGAGTATCAAAAATGACCAAATAGAGTAGATCAAATAAATTCCCTCAATGGGTGACGATACACCCCCTTGCTCGCCTTGTCTACATCTAGTTCAGCACGAAAATCAAAAGACAGAAGCACAGTTAATTTATGCACCATTAATTCAAAATTATGCACATACAAGCAGAAGAACTATGCCTATTTAAGGCATCCGAGTAACATAGATAATGTCTGTTTTTTGGATTCCCCTTGTTGTCTCAATTGGAACATTTGAGAAAGTCAAAACAAATGAAAACGGAAGTAAAGAATGTTGTAGCTTGACAATTGCTACCGTTCTGGTCTTGAAAAAGCATGTGATAAAGCCATATCTAAAAATATTAAAAAGCAAGAGCAATTGGATTCATTTTATAATTTTCAATGAATTTTTGGAGTAACTATGACCCCGCTAGTCCCATGTATCCGTGAACTGGACAACTTAAATTAAATGCAGCTTGCCTAAAGTTGAAGCAACCGCCAAAAAATATCACAGCGTAGGCAATCAACAAAAACCCGTGTAAAGCAAATAAATCCAGGGTTTTAGCTACTGTTGCACTTAGGGTGAGGGCTTCTCCCCCTCCAAAAATTATTAAAATCTTAAGTTTTCGATGAATAATCTTATTTGTTCCTATTGCACTAAAAAATCGTACCCTAAAAAATTCTATGCTTCCTATGGTACTGGACCTATCAAACAACTGATAAAGAATTTTGAAGATAGAGACACATACTCTCTGGCTCGAAGAAACAGTAAAAAATGAATGATTCCAATTATGATCAGGGACGTAATTTGAGAAAAGATTTTGGGATGGTCAAGGGTGAGAAATTTCTGACTGACAATAAGCTGATTTCAATTTTTCGAAAAATTTTTCACTAAGCCTTTACTTAAAGAACCTTAACAGTTCTGTCATTTTCTCTATGGATTGAAGGAGTTGTCGGGTTTAGCCTTATGTAATATGATTTTCTGACGTAAATACGTATGGGAATAATTCCTTAGATACTGTGAGTAGCTTTCCGGTTACTAAAATAACTTCACAAAATTAGAGTTGGCCCAATCATCCCACCCACCCTATCACCACTTACGTGCCGGTTTTTGGTTGGTCGAGGCTTCATCTTTTGGGCTCTCTAGCCCTGTGATATAAAGCCTGGTTCTCAACTGTCGGCATCATCGCCGATGAGGGCCTTGCGACGCTTACGATAAATGAGAACAAAGGGTGAAAGTTTACATTTGGATAACAGCTAAAAGTTTGATTGAATTCAAGTGTACTGTAGTATAGATTAGTTTTTTTAAATTTTGTACTTGAAAACAAGAAGCAGTTTTATTTCGAATTGAAATAAGATTTCACACTCACACACATTGGTATCTCAGCATTACAGCCATGCTTTGTTCTGGAAGGCGGGTCCCGTGCCTGTTCAAGAAGACGAACTCGTTTGAAAAGGACGAAGTTCGAGTGAAAGAACTGAAAGCGATCTAATCAACTTTCGGTGCTCAACTTAGCAAGAGAAACGAATGCAGCCGAACCTAGCATCAAGTTAGTTTGGTTGTTTCACATGCATAATATTTTGTTGCCCACTAGCAATCAAGCGCAAGGCAATCATGCATCATGTGAAAGGAAACTACAAAAACATCAAGTTTATATACTCAAGGGAAATGAGCATTTGCTAGGGGTGCATCAGTCTTTTAGTAGTAGGAGATTTTTTAAACAAAAGGTCTTTTAGGAATTTTTTGGGAAGTTTCTCGAAAAAAGGATATTTGCCAAAAGCGTAGGAGATTTCTGAGGAGTGATATGCCCTCGAGCAATTACCATATGTCATTGTTAAAGGAAGAATGTAAATCATACCTTAGGGGCACCAAAAGGCAAGCCCCGACACAAAGACCCGCCTAGAGGGGGCAGGGAGATAGATTGTCCTCAAAAAGTCATAGCAAAGCTCCTAGCAATAACAAAAACGCATATGCGTTTCTTAAATTAAAGCGCGCAGAAAAGCATGCAAATAAAGAAAGACATAGTACACCGTTAAAATATTAATACATTTAATCTTTTATCATTTCAATAAATTGTTGTGGTTCCTGTCGGCTTTTAATTGTTTTATCTTGCTCTTCACCGATTTGCATTATTTTTATTTACCTTGCCCAAAAAAGTATTCAACACACTTATAAGTCAATAGTATTTTATCTTGATGATATGATATTTGCTGTCAGGGGCGTCAGAAAAGGGAGGGTACGAGGGGGCAATGAATCCCTGAAACTTTGTCTGTCGCCCCATAAAAGATTTTTGGCGAGCAAGGAAGGCAATTTTCTCACCCTGTAACCTTTTCGCAACATTGGCAACGAATTCACATTCTGTAGTAGTTGAACATTCAAAGTATAGCACTAAAGTTTGAATTTTAAAATAGGAAAGCATAAAGTCAGCATGCAAGATTGATTATCTTATGACCCCACCCTCAAAGAGTGAGACACTCAAAACGTGTTATGGCTTCGTCCTTGTTTGTTGCATTGTAATACCACAAGGGCAATCAAGCCTATATTCTTATAGGGCTCTATTCTATACCGGGTAGCTTAGTGCCAAATATGTTGACAAACCTGTGATTTAGCAGCACTCTCAAGGCAAACAAGCCTGAAGAGAACCTGTTGTCTAGTTTTTTTAAAATGTTTGGGAACAACATGCATATCAAAATTTACATAAATAGTTTCTGAGTTTCTCTTATTTCATTTATAGTATGTTTTCTTATTGTAACACATGGAGATCGATTTTAGATGTCTAGATTATCTATCTTTGACAAATCAATGCCTTTGATTTTTTGACATAAATGAAAATTTCAAGTGAAGAAACCATTCTATAAACGACTCAATATAAGATTGGAAACTTTATCCATCTTTCTCTGATGCCAGGTACCTGAGACCCCTTACCGATCGCGGTATAGAGTAGAGCCCATTTAGCGTTGGTGTTCACTCGATGAAATCGGCGCAGTTCTAGTATTTCTTGGAAGTGAGCAGGCATTTAGAAAATGAACTATTTCCAACATAGAGAGTCATATTTAAAACGTGGAGGAAAAGAAGCATGTGGAAATTTAGCAGGTATGTTGCCTGTGATCCCTATTAACTGCTAAGCTAAATTAACATACCTATATACAATTATGATTTTTTGTGCTGTGCGAATGTGAATGAAAGAATGAGAAGGCAAATGTGCTAAAGTTGATTCTGATATCGATAAAGCCGGTAAAATACACCCACGCAGTTTAATTCATTTAAAAGATGAGCAAGCTATCTTGGTTACATAGACAAAAGATAATTATGTCGTAAAGAAGGCAATGATAACTGGAGCTAATTAAAACGGTGGAAATAACGACTAGCCTATTCGGATTATTCATTTTTTTGTACGAAGATTAACCTGCTTACTCGAAAGAAGCTACCATTTATAGATAATCAGTCAGATTTCATAAAACTTTTAGCAACCTTAGAAATATCCTTATATGCGAAGAGCTATTTTTACCGAAATGACGGACAAAATTCTTTGTCTCAAAGACCCTCCTGACATTCAAAATTTATGAAGGCGAATATACACTGCTTTATCATTACGCAGCTACATAGAAAATTTCGGGGCAACAAGTTATATCAAGACTTTTAGAATTAGAAGAGGTATATAATAGAAGGCCTAGAGAGACAGTGTATTAGTGTGCAAGGGGAAAAGATCTGCTATTAAGAATAATAAACTTAGACGAAGACAACTCTACAAACGGTTTTTTGAGATTCAAATCGGCTCAAAGCAAATGCTTGATTGCACCAGGGATCATCTCTAAGCTCATTCTTATTTCCTGTTGTAATGAATGTGTTGAGCGTAAACTTTAGGAATTAGAAAAAGTGAGAACCACTTTTTCACAAAAAGCATCTTCTCTACGCCATGGCAAATCATGTGGAAGAACTATGAGCAATGGTGATATTATAGACAGAGAAAACAATATTAGAAACTATAGGACTGAAAGTGAACGCACTGAAATCGTAAAACACAAAAAAGTAGACACCATTAAACGGAGAGAACATCGGGAATCCAGTATCAAGGCAGGTGGGATTGCAGGTCAGAAGTAAAAGCTTCGAAAAACAAACAGTTTGAAAAAGATTGCATGGGAAGCAGTTTCCTGAAGGGCAAAGTACTGATTGAACAAACGAGAAAGTATAGAAAAATGACAACGATTTTACAACAGATTAGATCATTGAGATGGTTTTGCTTAGAAGAATACTATCTAAACAAATGTTACATGAAAATTTGACTTGTTGAATTTGTCAAGCTAAGTGTTGTTTATGTATAGATATTGATTAGAAGACAAGAAAAGAAAGTGAATACTCGGTGCAGCGGCGGAAAGCGGATTCAGCGTCTCTCTAGCCCGTCTTCAGCAAATGGATTCTAATCCCACCTGATCTTCATTTCAAAATTTTTGAGTTTTATCAAAAAAAAATTTTTTCTCGAAGGGTCTCGTTATCCCTTATCCGAAAAGCTACAGGTTATTGGACTTAGTTTGATATAAAGAGGAACAAAAGCAACAAAAGGTATTTGCTAGCGATTTTATCAAAAAGCCACTTCTAGTCAAGAATGGCGAAATTCGATTGCTGCATGTCTCACATCCCCGGCGTGTTCTATAAGATCGTTTCTTCGCAAATTGGAGCGTGCTCGGACTCTCTCTAGGCCGCCTTCTGCCGCTCGATTCTAGTTACGTCTGATTTTCATTTCAGAAAAATAGATGTTGCCATGGAGATCATCAATTGTTCTCCAGGACATAAAACTAGCACTGTGTGTAGCTGTACTTGGAAATAACCCATTCAGCTGGCAGTTATGACATCCGTTATACCACCAGCCACCTTTGTAATCATTCGCACAGTTCTTACCAATATCATTATCATTATCACGATCCTTCGTAGTGAATACCATGTTGTTATTAGCCATATAAGACGGGATCACGTTGAAAGCATCACCAGCCGTTCCTGAATACCCAGAAACTCCAATACGGTATCCATCAGTCTCGTCGCTTATCTTAAAGCTGCCATACTTTGCAAAGAATAGCTCGTCGCCTTTAAGTCGATGCTTTAGTTCTATGCGAAGAGTTGTGTTAGAGTTAAGACCAGCAAGAGAGTGCATGTTCTCTAAGCCGATCCACATATTTTTCTCAACATCGCCAAATCCATGTTTGTAATCAGACCAGCCACGGTTGAAGTCGGTTGAGCCATCAATACGGCGCTGTATCACAGTCCAACCTCCGCCGTCTGTTTCCATATCACAGTAAACCTCCAATACTTGCTTGTTTGGTTTTGTGATGTTGTAGACGCCACTTTCTCTGTTACGTCTTTCATGTAGATCTTTGCAATCTGTTGGATCAACAAAATTGATGAGACTCTTATGCAAAGAACTCTGTACAATGCAAGGGAAAATATAATAAGAGTTTGCGATAAACATGCTAGAATATCATTGTGCTTGTTAGCCAAAGAATGCTAAAACGTCATTCATATGTAGTCAAGAGAAAGAGAGAAATATGTAATAATAATAATAATAATAATAATAATAATAATTATAATCAATTTATTTAAAGTTGGCGCCACATAGCTATTTATAGTGAAATGAGTTAATCCAACTCAACTGTTAAAACTACTACATAAAATAAATACATACAAGATTAAATACATAAAATTTCAAGTTCATAGTAAACTTTAAAAACAGAATTGACAGCATAGTACTATAAAAATCTGAGCAATTTAAAAAGATAGTATTGCAAAAATTCAAGTTGTGGTACAATCGTCCTACATAATTTGCGTCGGTGCCGTTGCAGCTTTTATTGTTTTCTTAAACTCATTGATAGATTGCACATTCCTTACGTGCTAAGGTAAAGAGAACCAAAGACGCTGCCCTCTATATTTGATAGTTTCGGGTCCGTTAATGGTTGTTCTTACCCTTGGTAGCATAAATTTATTATTGTTTCTCAAATTATAAACAACATGATGCTCTATCACAACACCTAGTAGCTTTTCCTCTTCCCAATTTTCTATGATAGAATCTCCTACATTAACTTTTACCTGCTGATTAGAACTTCTACCAAGAATAAATAAATGACATTTGTTCGTATTCAATTTCATAAAGTTATCAGGAAACCATTGGATAATTGTACTTGAATCATTCTCTAGCCTCACAATTACATTATTAAGATTTTTATCGAGCGCAGATATGGTTGTATCATCTGCGTAATTGCAGATAAAGAGATATTCATTAAGAAGAGCAGTGAATCATTTATGTAGATGTTAAAGAACAGGGGACTAGGAACTGATCGTTGTGGAACAGTTGTTTGTAGGTACTGAATGATGTTAACCATGTTTTCCAAGTAGCTGTTAACAAGACACAGTGCTTCATTACTGAATCCGTAAGCATCTAGTTTTGCTTTTAGGAGGTCATGTTTAATACAATCGAACGCTATGAATAGGTCCATTAGGATTTCACCAACATTTTCTCCTTTGTCTAAGCGTGTTTTCTATTTGTCGAGCATTCTAACCAATGCGTGTTGCGCATAGTACGAAAACCACATAAAAGCGACGTATCGCAAATCTATTTATCCATAAGTCTAACAAAAACCTTTGAAACAGTTGGCAATGCGCCCACCGGTCTGAAATTTTTCTTATTGGTTTTCTCTTCCGATTTAAGAAGGGAAATTACAACTGCTGGTTTTAACAAGTTCTTAAAGACACCATTTTGAGCGCAGTTATTGAAAATAAGCTGCATCGATTTGGAGTAATCATCGTATTATTATCGATGAGGGTATTGTTGAATTCGATAGACGTTATCGGAAAGGACAGGTTATACAATTTTTCAAAATTTCTTGTTGTCAGTAATACCAGAAGTATTCAAATTTATATAGAGATTACTTTTTTTCGTTCTAAAGAATTTGACACTAACATTACCCTGTCGACGAAACGCTTCCCAATGTTTAGCAGTGCGGCTTTAATTATATCTATTTTTCAACCTAGCACCAACCTAGCAGTGGATCAGCATACCCATCATTATATAATTTTCCTTTTGGGAAAGAATCATAAATATTTTCTCCTGTAACCATTAGAATATAAACATTTAATGAAACTCTTTTAAAGCATCAGATTTATTTCTTAAGAAACTTATATGTAGATATCCAATAGTCATATGACTTATGTTCTTTAAACGCAGATTTTCAATTTTGATTTTCCAACACTGTCATAGGTGGTATCATGTAGGTCCAACGCAATATCTACAGCAGTATCCTCCACTGCTGGGGCGTTACAATTACTGGCGCTGGCTAGATCAGGCTTCTCAGGTTCCATACCGAAAGGATGTTCTTTGTTTGTATTAACACCCTCGATTTCTAGTCAGTACCTTAGGTTATAAATGAAATTGAAGCTCATTCGAGTTGTCAATGAATTTCAAGTCCTTACTTATACATATCTGCTTCAGCAACTTGTTTACTTCAGTGGCCTTGAGAGTTGCCCCGGGGTACCTTTAAGAGTTGCCCCGGGGTACCATTTCTGCACATTAAGAGAGTTGCCCCGGGGTACCAACCCTGAAATGATGACTGCGTTATTCCCTGTTTCCAATGTTCTAACTAATTCGATGATATTGCAATATTTTGCGATCTTGAGCCATATTGCATGCAGGTTTGGATCCTCTTAAATCGTTCGTACCACAGTGAAGAATTATTGTCTTGGATTCTTCTTTATCGTTGGGCCAACATAATTGTTCATACAATCCACTGTTGCTCCTGAAAATGACTTGACATTTGATCATCGTTGATTGCTCGCTTCATTGTGAATCCTTGAATATTCCTCGCTGACGATAGTAATACAATCCTGGGTTGGTTTTGACTGCTAGTTTTGATCGATGACACGATGGTGATCTTTTTCGTTGGTGAGATTCTTCCCAAATCGTTGCAATTAACTCTTTCGTTCCTTGCTGTATTGAGAACTTTGTGTAAAAATGATTTGCAGCTCCAGCGATGACAGAAGGTCAAATTTGTTAGATAGCGGTGAAAATCTTCATAACTTGCATGCCAGTCGCATTCACTTGACGGCTTCTTTCCGTTCAAGGTCTCTTGGAATGATCTGTCTCCATTGATAACTTTTGTCTGTGTAAGATCTTGCATTGTTTCTGCACTCTCTGTCTTCATCTTGAATGTCTTAGAAATTGGCCTTGCTTTATTCCATATTTCTAGGCAAACTTGAAAGTAGATAGTATTCCTTGAAAGTATTCCTTGCCAACCTTTCAATAAGCACTTTCTCATTATTTGCATTTTCTAGATATTTTCCTTCCAGATTGGTCATGATCTTGTTGGCGAGACGTAGCTCCGTTTGTTCAAGCTCGGCGCGGATGAAGTTCATAATAGTCGAGAGAGGCCTGTCATGGCGGGGTGCAAAAGCACTTTCAGGGACCGCACACCAGTCTAAGAGTGGAGGGCTGAAATGGGCATGCCCGAAACTTTTTAAGGCCACTCTCACTAGAACGCCGGAAAACGCCCTTTTTATAAAATGCTTGCTCATTTATACTGAGTTTTTATAAACAGTCTGGTTCAAAGAAGATATAAATAACTATAAAAAAGGTAATAAAACACCAAGCTAACCAAATTAGAAAATACATCATATCATTGAACAAGATAAAGCACATAGAAAATATCCAACACAATAACTATCCAAAGTTGCGTTAGATTAAACCTTGCAAAAAAATGTCCGTCTTTTATTGCAAGAATGTGGGGGGGGGCTATAGCCCTTGCTAGCCCAATGGCTGCGCCGTGCCTGACACTTTCCTGCTGCTTCTCCACTTATTTCCATTCGAAATCACTGTATCAAGTCTTCTTCTCCGTTATGGAAGAGTTTCATCCTCATCCAAGTCAGATATGAAGAATGAGTCTTTTTTTGACACATCGGAAGATAACTCCCATTTCTTCGAGTTGATCACCAGTGTCAGCACGTCGGTATGATTTAGGCCATGCCTCGAATTCACAAAACTTATGAATGCGATTTTAGCTGGTCGCTGCTTCAACTTTTCTCTGATATAATTAATTGCATGTGTAATAAGCTCATCATTACAATTCATCTCGATCAATCTCTTTGGTAAATCGATGTGAAAAGAACTTGCAGAGCGATGAAAAACACGTCCTACTGACGCAAGCAAACTGTACACCTGTTAATGCAGCATTCAGCCAATTCAGAGTGAAACGTATTGAAGGTACTATGAGATTTTACCAGGTTGTAAGATGGCACTAGATTTAAGTAAACAACTAGAAGATGTAGTAGCTAAAAAGCCTAATTTCGCTATTATGAATATTTTTGCTAGCATATCTGCATTATAAATCTATTTTCGTTTGCATTTTATGTTTTGAACTTTGATACTTTCCGTGGAAAGATTTATACGGTAACTACCAGTCACAATCTTCCCAGCAATGATATTATCTTGTGAAAATAGTAACATTGTTGTAATGGCAAGGTGAAAATTTGTAAAATTGTTAAAAATATCAAGCAAAGGTATGTGGGGCAATATACAGAGATCAAATATATTCTAAAAATGATGAATTCAAACCACTTGGCTATAGGATTTTCAACGCTAACCTCTTGATATCTGCAGCAGTTTTAGGAAAACTTCAAACCCTTGTTTTCAAGCATACAGCCACTATAAGGGTCCAGAATATATTCTGTCAAGACTCGCAATCGATCACTCCACATACTTCTTTCATTGAGTTTCTACTGAAGCTCTCCATGCTGACTAACAATTCAATTAAATCAGAGCGTCATTTCTTTTATTAAAGTTTAAGAAATACAGCGAACTTTGAAAATTTCGGCACAAAAAAGTTCCACAGTCTCTTTTCCAAAGGCAAAGTAAATGGTCTTTGCTAACACAATTCAAAAAAATGAGAAAACTGCATCCAAGATTTCGCGTGTAAAATGTAAAATGTTGTATCCTCTTAATCAATTATCTAATCATTGTGACATGTTTAAGAGCTTTTACGGTTGTCCAACGCTAAACAGAGCAAAACACTCACCTGTGGGTTGTTTGATTTTCTCCCATGAAGAGGTGACACTTTTTCCTTCTTCCAATGGAGTATCTTCTGTATTTGTTTGGTAATTTCCTTTATCCTGGCTTTTAAAAACACCAGAACAAGAAGCTGTCCTGCCACAATTGAAAAATTCTGGCTTTATAAAGGCTTCATCCATATCTAAGTTGAATTCATTGACATTTTTCGTTTGCTGAAAGAAATTGCCAAATGTAACGAAGTTGCATTTGACAAGCAAGATATGAACCTGAAGCCAGAATAGGTCTACAATATGTAACCTCATGGTTCCCTTGAATCAAATGCAATCATCATTTTAGTGTTTTCTTTGATTATGTAGCTTTTCCAATTCTTGTTCCTACAAATATATGTACGCAGCAAATTATGCATGAATAATTTATGTGCATATCTAACACAAACATTCCGATTCAGGAGGGCTTTTGCCTCGGGTCGTTAGTCCACAAACCTTCCACGCTTTCTGGTACCAATTGTTTGCATAGAATTGTTTTCAAACATTGCATATATGATAAACAGGGGTTGAGCACAATTATCATACCCAAATTGGTCTTAAAGTCCGGAATGTGAAAAAGGGGCAGGCTACTTAATGTATGCTTTACTCTCAATCTTTATTGGCTCTAGCTGTTACCTTTCTGCATCAAGCGTCTTTTTTAAACCTAAATATATATTTGAAATTTAGACATTTAAAGCACTAGTAGTGTCAATATGGGGAGGGAACTAGAGGGACACGTCGCCCCGCAGTTCTCGGCAGGATCCATATTGTATTTTGTCTAAATTGGAAGAGAAAATTTTAGAAGAGGGGTGATAATTTTGCAATGTTTTTTATGATTTTTAAACTGCTTTATGTAACCAGAAGCTGGTCATGGACTTTTACAGTTGAAAAAGGGGCATTTTCTGGTAGTGAAAAAGGCATGGCCCAAAAGTTATTGTCTTATCCTCCACCCCCAGAACCTAGTGGTTGGCGCCACCCCTGATTAATAGAGAACAAATAGACATTGGTTGGGTGATATCAAATTGCATGTAAAGGTATTGAAAGAATAATTGTGTGGAAACAAAGAAGCTGTTGATGGTGATTGGTTGGCCTTCTATAGATGTGGAAATGGCCTGTTTTATATACGGCGATTTTTATTCAAATGCGAATAGAGTTTCAAAGTGATGACGTTCCGAATCATACTTTTAAGATTTAAACCTTGTGAAATACCGCTAATAGTGGAAATTTCATAAACACTTGCTGAGATATCTTTCTGTAAAAAGGCACTTTCCACTAAAACAATGCAGTTTTTTATGGTTCTAAAGACAACGAACAAGGCAAAAACAAATGGAATTAATTAACAAATCTTAGTTCTTTTACAAATCACATTTCGGTCACTTTTTAATAGATTTAATTGATTTTGCTCGTTTAGATGTATCTCAAGATTTCTTTGAGGTGATGTGGTCAGCAGTAAAAATTCTGAAATAGATTATTGGTATGGGTATTTAAACCCCCTGATGCCACATGAATTAACAAAAGCCCATTTGTACTCATAATGACATCATATACTCAATACATAGAAAAATCCTATAATAAGGCCACATGCTCTACCTGGAGACGGTTAAAGGCAGCGAGTCATGATAGAAAATAAGGGCATACCGAAATACGCCCAGTCACGATATCTGTACAGTAATGCCATTGATGGGCCTCAAATTTAGGCTTGAGTAACACAACACCGGATTGGTTTTTACTCCGCATTGCCCTCCAATAGCATCAGAGTGATCCATTCCGCCTTTTTAAGTGTTTATGCAACTTCAGATTGACAGATGCAACTTCGTTTTGCTGCTGTGCTACGCAACGCCGGATTGCTTTGCTTTGGCAAGATAAGAAACATATTTTTGGTGCTTTGAAAAGAAAACTTGTTTGAGATCACAAAATTAACGCTAAAATGAATAACAGCTGGTAAAAAATTCCCAAAATTCTTTTAGTCAACATGATGTTGCTAGCATGAGCTCAAAGGATCTTTGTCATTTGTTCTATGGGAACCCAAATGGAACCACCTTTGCAAACAGAATCATCCTAGAAGCAACTATTTCTTTCATTAAAACTACTGGACGTCTCAGAACATTGTAAGTGGCATTTGTAATGGAGTAGTGAAGTGTAGTGAAGCCAATCATTGCAGGTTTCATGATAAAGCCATCATCGTAGACCTGTGCAGCAGTGATATCACAACCAAACTTTGGATTCCTTTTGCAAACTGCTTGAAGCCACTAGAACACAGTCAAAGATAAAAGTCGAGTTTATAAGTGATGCTTCTCAAATGCTATGTCTGGTAAGCTCCGTGAGAGAACCATAATTAAAGAGAACGATTCAGATGGCTAACAACTCCTAGATAAAAAGACAGAGAGGAGAGCAGGAAGCTCTTTTAGGAAGGAAGAAAATGAAAAAAAGCAGTGAAAATGAATCTGATAAATAGCTATATCGATGTTGTTTGTAAATCTGATTAGTTGTCAGGCAGCAGCAGCTATGACTGTACTGTGTAGCGGATCAAAGGTTCGTAGGCGAGACATTGAAAGACGACAAATGTTACCTTTGAAGAATAGCGATCAACCAAATCAATTCTGCTAACCATTAAAAATAGAGACAGTAACATAAAAGCATTAGAAATGAGGGAGGTTGTCTTTGAATATCTAGCCAAGCCAAGCACATTCAGCACAGCAGCGGTTTTGAAAAAAGTTAAAGTTCCAGCTTATGATATCCTGATTACCGCTATTCTACTGGATTAAAGGCGAAGAGAAAGTGTGCATATCCCTGAACAATTTCAGTTTTCTTTGTTCTATGACCTGATCAATGTAAATTCATGCACCAGTCGAAAGGTCTCGTTATCTTTTATCCAAATAAATATGTTTTACTGGACTTAGTTGGATAAATGAGGACACAGGATAAAGAAATGAAAAAAGGTACACTTGCGACGTCATCAAAAACAATAATTACAGTCAAAATTAAACATGCCAAGATGAAATGTGATTCTTCATGTCTGAAAAACCTTATCAGTAATTACGTTTGGTTAAATGGTTTCTTCTCATTTGTCATTAGAAAGTATTCGGTGAGGTGGAAGAAAAGCGCGCTCGGCCTTTCTCTAGGCCGCCTCTCGCCATTGGATTCTAGTTACGTCTGATCTTCATTTCAGAAAAATTGACGTTGCCATGGTTATCATCAATTGTTCCCCATGACATGTAAATAGGATCTGATGAATCCTTACTTGGAAATAACCCATTAAGCTGGCAGTTATGACATCCATTATACCACCAGCCACCTTTGAAAGTATCTGCACAGTTATATTTAAGTTTATTATCATTGTCACTATCTTTGGTAGAGAATACCATGTTGTTATTTGTCATATGAGATGGAAGCATGTTAAAAGCATCACCAGCTGTTCCAGAATATCCAGAAACACTGATACGGTATCGATCACTCTCATCGCTAATTTGGAAGCTACGGTATGTTGCGAAGAAAAGCTCATCGCCTTTAAGTCGGTGCTTCAGATCTATTCGTAGGGTGGTACTGGCATCAGGACTAGCAAGATAGTGCATATTCTCTAACCCGATCCACATATTCTTGCCAACATCGCCAAATCCATCTTTATAATCAGACCAGCCACGTTGATAATCGGTTGAGCCATCAATACGGCGTTGTATCACAGTCCAACCTCCGCCGTCTGTTTCCATATCACAGTTAACAATCATAACTTGATTGTTTGAGTTCGGTCTGATTATTTCGTAGATGCCACTGTCTCTTTTCCCGCTGTCGTAGAGGTCCTTGCAATCTATGGGATGAAGAAAGGGATGAAATTCTTACATGTGAACGTAGATGTGGAATGTCGTTGTTGGAAAGGTATGGGAAGAACTAGTTCTCTTTACAGTAGATGCACTTTGGACATCACAAGGGACAGTGCCAGAAAAGTATGGGTTTTTAAACGCTAACAGTTTCAAATCGTTAACTGCATCAGGCAAGAAACAGCTTGATACGCACGAACCCATTTTGATTTATGTTGCTATTTAACTTGGTCTTGTATTGTAGATACCCATGATAAAAGTTTGTAAAAGTTTCATGCGAATTTCCACTACAAATGGGTCTATTGTTGTGTGAGCTTAGGAGTCTATGTCATCCGAGTCAGGGTCTTTACTCCAGAAATCAAGACCAAATAACAACGAGCATAAGATTACCAATTACCAATTGATCTCCTTCTCATCTATTCCTGATCTTCCCTGAATATTTCCAACTTACAACCTTGCATTATTTCACGCGAATCGCTTTGGTGTGAGGATAAATATCTTGTAATTATTGTGAGCATTTTTAGGATCGCTATTAAGTACTTAGCGCTCCATTTTCATTTAAGACAATTTGCGTTTGAATTGAGCAATACTTTGAATAAATGACATATTTTTATTTTTCACCGCGCTTTTTCACCGCGTATTTTGCTACCATCATTTCATTTTGATGTTACTACGTTCCATTACAGAAGTATTGGGCACAATATTGGGGCTCTTTAGCGGCGTGATAGATCTTTAGCGAATCTGGCACCTTAGAATTTCGCGAAAGAACCTTTGAATGATAACATGAAGTTAACTTACTGGTTTCGTTAAAAGTCAGTTATAACAATGGTTCCCGAAATCACGCGGAACTGACTTTCCACATCGAAAGCAAATGACTCCCGCTAAATGGATTGATGAGATTTCCTTAGTTATTTTACATTCATATTTTAAAGCGCTGTGATCAATGCGTTAGGTCTGACAGCTTTTTACGGTTTGTTTCAAAGTATACTTTCCGGTGTTCCACAAGGATCTCTACTTTGAACGTTTTTCCAATTTTTTTCATGAATAATCTGCTATATCAGATGTTTGTAATTTAGCAGATGACGATTCTTTTGTTTCTTATTTCCGACTTGTGCAATAAGACTGCCGCACAGCTTAATGTTCTTAAAAGACTTGAACCATTTACCGCTTTTGAAGAACGGATAATATTTGCTGACTTTTTATTTATGCAAGCTTGAATTACTGTCCTTTAGTGTGGCGATTTTATCTCCAAAGTCACTGCAAAAGGTCGAACATATACTAGAGAGAGCATTAACATTTCTGTTCAATGATAACTATTCTCAATAAAAAAAGTTACTGACAAAATCAGGCAATAGAGTTGTCTATTTTTAGAATTTTTTTAAATTTTTTCCTATTACCTGAAAGAACATAATGAAATACCTCTAAATCCGCAAAATCATTTAAAGGTATTACGAATTCGCTGAGATATGATCAGATGAGCCCAAGCTCTGGCCCCATTAAGAATAGAGAGATGTGGCTTATTTCAAATTGTTGCTTGATAAGGGGCTTAATAGAGAAGGGGGATTAATAGAGAAGGGGGCTTAAAATAGAGGGGGGGCTTAATAGAGTAATTACAGTACTTATGATGAAGTGTGTGTCATGTCATTTCATTTCAAAAACAGTTAATCAAAAAGTTTCCAATTATACAAAATAAACAAGCTGATCAATTTAGAAAATATTTAAAATAGAAAGTGGCGCTAATGCAGTTTCGCACCTCTTGGACATTGATCCTTACCCAAACCCTATCCTTATGCATGGAACCACACGCTGAGAGGTGCGAAACTGCAATAGCCCCTAGAAAGTATAACTTAATCAATTATAACTAATATGCAACACAATTTTAACCTTCTTATACTTTATACTAAATCATAACCTTCTTATATTTATGCTGGTCGATGTTGTGTTTTTCAAATCGCCATGCATTGCAGGTACATTCCACTCCATCCCATTGCTTTATCACTCCTTAAAAATTCGTGTATTTTGAACAGGCTTCATTTCATTCGGGATTCCTTTCCTTATCTGGAGGCCCATAGGCTCAAAAGCTATAAGCACCATAATTCGTTTGATTAGGTCTTGATGCAACGATTTTATTTTCTCTGATAACGACTCAGATTAGCAGATAATTGAAAAGAAAATTTGCTTTGAAGGAAACAGGATTTAGCTGCCCCATTGTTTTGTAGATGTCGATAAAGAAAGGTCTTAAACGAGAAACATGCATGTATTTATAGAGTTCTCAAGTGTGACGTCATAAAAACTACTTTTAGAATTTTCGAATTTGACCACATAACATCATAAAACACCATAAAATACCCCTATGAATGCAAAGTAGGTTATCAACTTGGTGACTCCGAGGAAATTCAGGACAATATAATTGATTGATTTTAACACTTTTCGAAGCTGCTAGCAAAGTTTTTGAGAACATTTGTATGACATTTTCATAAGAAAAAATGCATTCTGTAATTTATTTCCAGTAAGAATGTACTCTATAAGATTGTTGAAATATTGAAAAAGTGTCTTAGCTTTTCGGAGAGAACTGTAGATGCGGCTGTAGCTATACACAGTTTCTATGTATTGCAAAGTGATCCGTTCCGACCAAAAGCATGTTTCATTTTGAAACCTTCATTTTCCCAATAAACTACAGTTTTAGACAATGTATTTCCGTCACAGCTTTTCAAGCCCTGATCCAAATTTTTTCTTCAAGTCAATTCTCTTTTTTACAAAAGCTCTTCATGCTGAGTAGCAACTTTCTTGTTCAAACCAGATCGACTTTTCATATGACATTAACATTTTCATGAAATACAGTGAATTTCAAAAATTGTTTAAAATGAATTTTTGATCTACCGTACTTGATTGCCGGAAAATGGAACAATTTTCACTTGGGACAATTTCACATGTCATGTTAACACAATTCTAAAATGTGGAATATCTACCAATTTCATGCCTTAAAATGGTTAAGTTGTACCCTCTCGATCAAAAGTCCAACAATCGTGACTTCTAGCCTGAGTTTTATAAATAAATGCAAAGGTCTGCTTCATAAAAAGTCTGCACCAGCAACAAATAATTGATTTGTCCATTGTTCGAGAGCTTAAACGATTGTCCAAAGCTCAGCAGAATGTAGCACTAACCTGTGGGTTGTTTGACTTTCTTCCACGCAGCAATGACACTTTCTTCTTCTTCCAGGGGAGTCACTTCTGTATTTGTTTGGTAATGTCCTGCACCCTGACGTTTTAGAACACGAGAGCAAGAAGTTGCCCGGTCACAGTGGAAAAATTCTGGTTTTATAAAAGCTTCTTCCATTTTCAGACTGACTTCATCTCCATTCTCCGTTTGCTGGAAGAAATTGCCGATGGTGGCAAAGTTACTTTTGACAAACAGAAAATAAGCCTGAAACCAGAATATGTCTACAATATGTAGCCTCATGGTTGCTCTAAGTCAGATAGAATCGTCCTGATAGTGATCTCGTTGATTTGGCAGTATTCTTCAAGTCGCAGACTTTTTAATATGCACCCGTTACAATTTATACATAAATTATTCATGTACATACTTAAAGAAAAATTTCGATTCCGGTGGGCTTTTGCCTCGGTCATTTGTCCACGATCCTTTCATTCTATTTTGTTTCATATTTTTTCTTTCGCAAAAATATTGTCCATAACAATTTTCATGCTCAAAATCATCCATCTTTAAGAATATATCGAAATTCTGCCCCGGTTCGGGTATGTGCCTGCCAACACAGGGACTTAGTTTTGGTCAAAAATTCTACAAAAATATTATACCTCTTGTCCCCTTTTTCAGACACAGGTATCCCGATTGAATATTTCAAATTTTTAGGTATCGTGATTTTAAAATTCTATTCCTGGCAGGGTCATCAAATTCTATACTGCAGGCCCATCCCCGTTTTTTTCTCCAAGGTAAACCCTTCGGGCTTTGCATAGCGTTGCGTTAGATGTTGTTTTTTTTATGATGTTATTACAGAAACAACATTTCAAATTCGATTTAGTTTACATCGAACAAAGCACTTTGGACCTTCATTATACTGATGAGTATTTATACCTCTTGATGCTGCATGAATAAACAATGGTGCTATGACTCACGTATGCATAGTGAGTGAAATTATTCACTGAAATCACAGAAACATATTTCAATAGGCTCACAAAGTTAAAATAGAATGCTGTAATCATTATCAAGATTAAATAAAGATGACATGCATTTTGTCGCGCCGCTACTGAAGCTAAACACTGGGTATTTATTGACAACAAGCATCATTATTGATAAGACCAACACATAAATAAGAAATGTGCCAATTGAAAAATGGGTATTGAATCACATAACAAAAAGGCAGATGCATCGACATGAAAAAATACAAGCATCGAACATATGCATTGCCTAAAAAGCATAGCAAGAGCAGTGGTGTAGTGCTATCAAAATAACAAGGGGTGCTCTTGCCAAAATGTTGCGAAAACAATAGCAAAAGAAGAGATTTGCCAATTTTCGGCATTAACAAGGGGGGTTCAGCCCCCCTGAGCCCCCTAGCTCTACACCCCTGAGCAAGAGACACTGTACAGCGTAATATTTGTCATTCTTTCGTTAACAAAAATTCATCCAAATTATTTATTTCGACAAAGCAAAAACTACTTCACAACGAAGAAATTTTTGAGATGCTTGATTTAGAGGATATTTGTTTAATTTCTATCCCTCAAGTGGTCTGTCAACCTTTTAATTTTTTCACTGTGTTCGATTTTCCCAATATTTGTGACATCTTTTTGTTTTACAGTTGTTTTACATTTAATTTTTCCAATATTTGTAACATCTAATTTCGCTGACCTGCAGTTCACTGATTTGCAAAATAAAGACAGGTTTTAAATCCAAATACATTGTGCCATATAAATTTGAAGCATAATATGTGGTTCAACTAAACCCCAAATAAAAAGTTTTGACAAAAGGTGTAATTATTCAAGACTGGTTGAGTTTTTCTAAAGGCATTTCTAGTTTTAAAATAATTTTCACTGCATAATTTGATGAAAATAAGTGTTTTAGGGCAGGGCACCTAAGAAATATTTACTGGCCAGGTCCTTTATTTCGCGATTTATGCGACCATTGCCATTCTGCCACAACAATACTTGAAGAACAATTCATTTGTGTGTTTTATATATTGCAATTGGTATCTTAGCTAATGCAACTGGTGATGCAAGGGACTGTGCGATGATCAAATCATTTAAATATCAACATATTTGTAACTTCTTCGACCATAAAAAACAATAAATTAATCGTTGAGTTTTCACAAGTTACTTTTCTTTATCTTTTCTTTGCCATTTTTCCACTCAGTGTTATTGTCTTCTTCAGTTGGAAAAACATTTGAAAACCACTCGTTGGCAGAAGTCGATAGAAGTTCAGCTAATCTCTGCGCAGTTGATACTCAGTTGATATTTTGATTCCAACATTTAATGTTTGTTTGATTGTTCAGGACTGGCTAATAGTGCATGGAGTATTTTAGGGCTGTTGATGTCTTCTGGTGGCCCAATGTAGAAAGAAGACGCCTTCTCCAAACGAAGCCATCAGAAAATTTCGAGGGAAACTCTTTTTAGATTAGCTTAAAATACATTTCAGCATTTTTTTCTTGCATTCTTTTAAAATATTTTACCATTTTGTAGGCATACTTTTCTGACATTTAATTAGTGACATTTTTAAAATGGATATTATCACTTGGGCAATTTGCCCCTTGTCCCCTCTTTGGTGGCCCTGGATATGCTCAGGTTGCTTTTCATAGTACATTCATGGTCTAGGGTCCCGCGGTTTTTAGGGTCCCGCGGTTTTTAGGGTCCCGCGGTTTTTAGGGTCCCGCGATTTTTAGGGTCCCGCGATCTTTAGGGTCCCGCGCTTACAAAGCGGCACCTTTGTTCACTGCATGCTTTATATATTCACAAAAAATGGAATGTGCGCAAAATTTAATTGTTTCAAAGATTGGTTTTTCTACCATTGGACAAGACAAGCTGCGTGACTTGTTTCTCTTGACGACAGAACCAGGTATGAGGAATAAAGTGGCAAAATGATGGTATCATAAATATTCATTTTTAAATCTTCGATTTTGAACACATGAGTGGAATGATTACGTTAGAATGTCTCTTAATGTGCAAAAAGGATAAATTTGTTACATATTTGATGCCAAATGGCCATTTGAATTTTGCTAATAGATTACTGTTAATTTAGCACAGATTTTAATGCTGAATTTCAGAACTTCCACAAATGCCAAAAAGAGGCATAATCCATAGACCGATATTAAGCACCTTCTTTAAAAAGGGCACTCGATATTGCCAAATATCAGGGCTGCGAAAAGGGCATCGAGGTTTTTGTAGGTATAGAAGGTAAAAACTAAGGAACCAATGTGTGACTAATCCTGCGTTTGAGGCTGTAACCAGGTGGTAGTGACTACTCCTTATCTCCTTTTTTCTCATTTTTCCATTTTGGATTTTACGATTTTATTCACACATTGGTTCCTTAGTTTTTACCTTCTATACATATAAAAACATCTCCTTTTTTCTCATTTTTCCATTTTGGATTTTACGATTTTATTCACAAATTGGTTCCTTAGTTTTTACCTTCTATACCTATAAAAACACAGCCTCAAAAAGAAATGAACTTCATTTTGAGAATAGAAACAATCGAATGAAGCAAAATTATGCCTGGAAACAGTCTTACGTTCTAAACGATTCCAAGAAATGGCTGCAAGAAATTTTCTGAAATGCATTTTAATGCTTAAATTTTCAAAGAATACATTTATTTTTTATTATCTTATCTTTCTTTTCAGCATTATTTTTGTAACTGTTATTATTGTGGAGTCAATGAAATTTAAATTTAAATTATACACATAAAGCCTATACTCCTGTAATATTTGGTCAAAACACATCAAACCTGTATTACATCTTGCTGACTTCTTAAATTTTGAAAACTTTTTATAATGCAATGAATGCCATTGCTCAAAATAAAAAAAAAATTTGAATAAAGACGTCATCACATTAATAATCTTACCGGACCCGAAAATATTTTTTGCCTGGTGCCCCACAGTGCTTTAGTATCACAAAGGCCCTGGATATTACGATGCTAATCTAGATAGGCCTAATCTAAATCATGAGAAGAAACAATTGACTAAGATTGTGACAGAGAAGGCTAAGAAAACACTAAAATATGCTGCCGATGCAAATAATTGATATACACAGATAAACGGTGATATTGCAAACAGCAATATAATTGCAAAAAAATTTAAGAAACACGAGATTTGCGATCGATAATATAATGTAATAGGTGGAAACATGAAACACGTAAATAAATCTTGTACACTTCATATATAATTGTCGTTTCCACTAAACTATCACAGTTCATAACGACTTCCATTTTCTGTGATAACAAGATCTCTTAATTCTAGTTCCAGTTCTCTTATTTTATCTCGGTGATATGTATAAAGACATACGAAATATTTTTATGATAATTCTATCATTTAAGTTTGCCTTTACATAGCTATGAGCTAATCAAGCTAACTATATATAAATGAAAGTTACTATAATAGGTAATGAAATAGTCTAAGTTACAAGTTTATATTACGTTAGTGTAAACAAATTAATTAAATTTTTCTGCAACAAGATGTAAGTTTGAAGCTTCTAAATTTGTACATTTTAAGAGAAGATTTGCATAACCTACAGATGCAATATTGCCATATGGAACTTATTGTTCCCCTTTTAAAGACTTTAAATTATTCTTATATAAATATCTATTTATGTATCTAGCAGCCATACCTCGAGGTGACAAAAAGTTCTCTTCGAGCAAACCTTGAGCACTCGAATTCGTACTTATACTAGATGAAATTGCCAAGTAACAAACACAAAAGTATTTTCTAAAACAGCTTGTAAACGTACCTGGTTAATAAGTAGAGGAACGCTGACCTTTCCAGTCATCATTTGACTCATCTTACAGCTAGCTCTCACTCAGTCACACGTAAAAACTAAACAACACACTTCAATTGAGGCTTCAACAAGCAAAGTGAGACCCACGCTATGACAAAACTTTAAATACTGAAAGGATAACCAAGGGAATGAAAACGCAAGGATTGAACCACACACCTTACCCTTATATTATAAATAAAATCCCCAGGAGGCCAAAAAGCGCCCCCGGTATTGCAAATAAACTAGTAAAAAGCGAATACAAGGAAAAGGTAAGAAGCCTGGCACAAAGGAGTATAAGGAATAAAAAAACAATAACGAACTCAGGAAAATTAGTTGAAAGTCAAAAGCACCTAGTGAAATTAACTCGAATAATTTATTTTAATCATCATTGAACAGAAATTTATAAGCTAAGGCTGGGCCTATGCAAGAGGGTTTCAGTACAGACGAGTGAGCAGCAGCGACATTTATAAAGACATGTCATATCGTCTCAGATTTTAGAGGAATATTAAAAGAAAGACTAAATGTTTTTTCATGTTCTAGTAACAAGGAGATAATAAAGGAAGCAAGTAGCAAGCAGAAAGAAATGAGATACTCTCACCTAAGGATTTCGAAATGAAATGAATATTGAGTTCGCACAAGAAATGTTGAAGCACAAAGTGAAGTAAAGGTCAACATCGTTCAAATTGTAAAAATCCTAAGTTGAGAACAGGCAAGGAAAAGCCTAAAAAACCTCAAAGGAGTTAAGTTTACCCAAAGATGACGGACAGGCATTTGATTCAAAGGAGGTTAGGAGACCTCTTTAGAAGAAGCAGGCCTGTTTCCCCTTAGTTTTATTCTATTGGCACTAACTTCTCCAGACGATTATTTTAGACAAGACTGAAAGGCCACTCTAGGAAACCATCTTATTGAAGAATCGGATATTTTAGCTACTGAGGCAACAATTAAATGGTGCAGCTATTATAAACAAGTTGCAACTGCATTATTATTAATTAGTAGATGCTATGGAAACCAAACACGAAGAGAATTATAAATTGATGGTGATAGTAGTTATGATTATGTTTTATACCGCAGCAATTGTGACTGACTGTATATGTGGTAGCATTTAAAGTCACTACATCCCGACGCATTCCGTTGACCATTTGAATTTTTAATTGGTTGGACTACACAATAGACCTATTATTATGTACCCAATCGGCAAGGTAAGGCAATTCTCAAATGGGTTTAAATAAAGAAAGTTTGCATTATGCGTGAAAAATTGCTCTATTCAGGATGATGAGGTCATAAAAACTAAACATCAAAGATGAGAACTTACATCAAAAACTAAAAATTTATACATCGGTCGAAAGTCTCGTTACCTTCTAACGAAAAAATAATAATTTATTAAAATTAGTTGCATATTTTATTAGAGGACACATGATAAGAAAATGAAAGCTTTGCACTCTTGACGTCATCAAAAACCAATTCCATCAAAATTCAACATACCTCAAGTGAATTTTTTTGTCTAAAAACCCCAATCAGTATTTAGAATGTCGACTTGATGGATTGTTCTCATTTTTGATTGTCTAAAGACTTATCTAAAGTATTCGCTGCAGTGGCAGAAAAGCGCGATCGGCCTCTTTTAGGCCGCCTCTCGCCACTTGATCCTAGTTACGTCTGATCTTCATTTCAGAAAAATTGATATTGCCATAGTTATCATCAATTGTTATCCATGACATATAAGTAGGATGTGATGTATCAACACTTGGAAATAACCCATTAAGCTGGCAGGCATGGCATGTGTTATACCACCAGCCACCTTTGAAAGTATCTGCACAGTTATATTCAGGATTATTATCATTGTCACTACCACTGGTAGAGAATGCCATGTTGTTATTTGAATTTAAGTCTGTTAAAAGCATCACCAGCTGTCCCAGAATATCCAGAAACTCTAATACGGTATCCATCAGTCTCGTTGCCAATCTTAAAGCTGCCATACTTTGCAAAGAATAGCTCGTCGCCTTTAAGTCGATGCTTTAGTTCTATGCGAAGAGTTGTGTTAGAGTTGAGACCAGCAAGAGAGTGCATGTTCTCTAACCCCATCCACATATTCTTCCCAACATCGCCAAATCCATGTTTGTAATCAGACCAGCCACGGTTGAAGTCGGTTGAGCTATCAACACGGCGCTGTATTACAGTCCAGCCCCCACCGTCTGTTTTCATGTCACAGTAAATCTTCAAAACTTGCTTGTTTGGTCTGGTTACGTGATAGACGCCACTTTCTCTGTTGCCTCCTTTGTATAGGTCTTTGCAATCTATGGGGTGAACACAGGCATGAAATTCATACACGTGAAAGTAGATAAGGACTTGATGCACTTGGGGCCTCAAATAATATGGTGTCAGACGACAAGGGTAAGAGTTTGCAAACCTAAGCGAACGAATCGGTTTCGACCTAAATTGCTCTTTTAACTTGGTCATATATCCTAGATTCCTTTGCAGATTTACAACCTTTTAAACAAATTTCAACCTTAAATTGGTCCAATGTTTTGCTAGTTAAGGGGTCTGTGTCGGCTTAGTTAGGTCCTGTTCACAAATGAATAATATCGAATGAGAAAGGGCACAAGCTGACCAACTGCCAATTGATCTCCTTCTCACCCATTCCTGATCATCCTTTACTTTTCAAGCAAATTGACTTGGTGTACAGATAGAAAAATTGTAATTCATTTTGAGCATTTTTGGATCGCTATTAAGTATTGTAGCGATCCATTTTCATTTTTTTGTGTTACAATGGGGTAACATTTTGGAAATATGATGTAACAAACGTCTTTTACTAGCATTATTTTTTAGGTTGCTTTTAAAATGGTGACCGTCTATTGCATAAATCTTGGGTTACGTCCATTACAGAAAAACAGGCTCATAGTGTGACAGAAGATTTTCGTAGTTGCTCTTTAGCGAGTTTGGTTCGTTGACCTTAAACTCGCTTAGAAGCACCTTAAAATGACAACATAAAATTAGCTTATTATGTAGGTTTCGTTAAAAGTCGGTTATAACAATGGTTACCACCCCCCTCCCCCCCCCTCGAAAGAACATGACTCTCTCCACATGGATTGATGATAATTCCTTAATTTTTATGTACTCAATTTAAAGCAGCGTGGTCAATGTATTAGGATTAACAACTTCACGATTCATTTCAACGCATGCTTTCCACATGGATCTTCACTTGGATCGATCCTTTTTACTTTTACATAAATGATCTACTTCTTTTTACTAAGGAAACCAAAGTAAATAACTATGCAGATGAAAATTCTTTGGTTTCTTCCCTTAAAAGGAATTTCAGACTCAATGAAGCTCTAAGAGGGGGAGCCTGTTGTGATTTGAGAAGCTAGCGACTTGTTAACTGCGAAACAGATAACTGGGAACTGAACGTGACGCGTGCTAAGCAGTTCTATTTCAACGATCGTTTCAACTTTCTAGAAGCTTCTACACGATCCTTAATTACCTTAAAATAGAGCAGCAAGTAATCTTCTCTATCTATGCGTCCTAAACTGGCTACTAATTACGAGAGACATAAGCTCACCTACATAATCAGCAACTACGAAACTGTTGATTGCACGTTCCCAACAGAGCCAACGTGCCCTATCCAGAGAAATTGCAGTCTATTGTTCAGGTACAAGTAGTATTGACATTAGCCGTTTTGATAAAAAAATTAAATCAGAAAAAGCTGTAGCTTTTAGATATTAGGCCGCACAGCCAAATGTGCTAAAATGACTCTCTCCGATAAATTTACACGGCGAGAATATAAATTTGAAAAATTGTCTTGCTAATTACTTGGAGTTGAGTCAGCATCATTTCGTAGCCGCAAGCAATAGAAATTGGCATAATTATCACGGGAAAACGAGTATGCCTTGCATATCAAAAAAGTTACGGAAAAGCGTCTATTTATACATATACACTTATGCGTTCCCCTTGACCCACCACACAGTCTACTCATTCTTCGTACACAAAAATAGCACGGCTTTTGCGGTGTACGAAGAATGTGGAGAATTATGAACACCGTAAATCCTCGAATTGGCCCCCTTGAAAAAGCCCCCTCCTCGAATAAGCCCCCACTGCTACCGTAAATTCTTAAATTGGACCCCTCAATTTGATGATTTTTGCCATCTGAGGTCGCCTATGGCGTTTTATTGACTTACCACAGCAAATTCATACTTTTGGCAGTAATTAATTAAATGCTCATAGTAAAATTTCTACTAAAAAAAGGAGGTCTTTTAATAATGTCTTCTTAATGTCAACAATTATTCTATAAGCCCCCCCCCCTCGCCAAAGCCCACCCTCGAATATTGATTTGACGAAGGACATTTTTCGCTTGATAACATAACAGGAATAATCATTCTTATTCGGTTGCTTTATCAAAATGCGTTTCGCAGATTTACAGTTTCTTGATAAACGGCAGAGAATGCTATGATACAGTAAGTTTACCAAAGCCAGATCTTTGGATTCCACTATCAACCTTTGCAGAAGGAGAAATCGATGCGTGCCTAACGATCCCTAACGACCCGCGCTGACAAAACGGTTGCAGCATAATGATCTCACGACAGTGCAATTACTTGATTACGAAGGGGAATCTTTCGTATATAATTGTGAGCAGCCAAACTTTCATTTTGTAAACTTCCTAGTTGCAAGTGCAAAGATTTCTTCAATTCGGCAATTCAACTATTTGATTTAGAAATGTAGTCACAGATCCCAAGATTATTAATTGATCATTCTAGTAACTATTGGTCTGATCTCAGACGTTTAACAACTTTCCATTGCTTCTATGTATTTCCTACACCAAACTACCTTATCCAATGAGGTTTGAATAATTTCGAATAAATTTTGTACCAACCCCAGAGAAAACTGAAAAGTCCTTGCAAGCAATTTGCGATAATTTTGCATAGCCTGGAAACCTTCGAATAACTTTCGCCAACTTTGTGCAACATGCAAAAAACTCAGTAATATATTCTTGCTTACTATACTTGCAATATATTCGAATTTCCCACCCTTGCTTTTGAGTGTCCCAAGTTCTGTCCCCGGAATTCAAGACTCCTTCCTTCCAATATTTGGGATTGAAATGTATTCTGTCAAGACTAAAAAAATTAGTTACTCCTCATTTTCTTTTGATTGAGTTTCAACAAAAGCACTTCGCGCTGCGTATCAATTTTTTGTTGTTGAAATCAGATCGCCTTTATCATAACGTTAAACTTTCCATGAAACACAGAAAAAACTTTGAAAATTTTGCCAAAAAAATCCGTACTGCATTGATGAACCATTGCATCTGCTCGCTAAAGAAACGAAATAAGCAATTTGAGGCTAGTTTATTCTAGGCAAACTCTGATGAAGCCCTGTATGCCAAGGCGAAATATTAGTACTCGTTTAATCTAATTTATTTTAAAATTTATCGCATAACATTGGATTCTCGTCGCCGTTTTACTTTGTTTCTGAATTTTATCCTCGTATATTATACTCATCGATCTTTATATTATACGTATATTATACGTATATTATACACAGAATCCGGCGGACAGCCTATCCTGCTGTTCTTCCTTCTTACACACAAATTCATTTATCTATGCTAACACAATTCTAGAGTAAGAAATACCTGCCAATGTTTGCGCTCGAATGGTTTAGATTATATCCTTAAAAACCGAAGGTTTGTTATCGTAATTTGAGGTTTCTGTAACGCAGCAAATATGGTTGATAAAATCCATCAACAAGAAATCACTGTCTCATTCATTATTTCAGAGCTTTGAAAGAATTTAGCAATAACCTGTGGGTTGTTTGACTTTCTTCCACGCAGCAATGACACTTTCTTCTTCTTCCAGGGGAGTCACTTCTGTATTAGTTTGGTAATGTCCTGTACCCTGACTTTTTAGAACACGAGAACAAGAACTTGCCCGGTCACAGTAAAAAAATTCTGGTTTTATAAAAGCTTCTTCCATTTTCAGACTGACTTCATCTCCATTCTCCGTTTGCTGGAAGAAATTGCCGATGGTGGCAAAGTTACTTTTGACAAACAGAAAATAAGCCTGAAACCAGAATATGTCTACAATATGTAACCTCATGGTTGCTCTAAGTCAGCTAGAATCGTCCTGATAGTGATCTCGTTGATTTGGCAGTATTCTTCAAGTCGCAGACTTTTCAATATGCATCCGATACAATTTATTCATGAATTATTTATGTGCATTTGTAACCAAGCATTTCGATTCCGGAGGGTTTTTGCCTCGGATTATTTGCACAAGATTGTGCACTCTTTTTGGTGCATATTTAGAATACTGAGATATTGATCTGAGAGAAAATCTGAGAGAAAGATGAATCTCAGAGTCATCCAATTCTCAAGAAAATATCAAAATATTGCCCCGGTTATTTACTTAGTTCACCGAATAGCCTAGAATGTGCCTGCTGTCTCTCTGATCTTCAGGCTAAACAGGGTCTCATCTTCGGACAAAAATTCTGGGACAGTATTTTGTCTTTTGTTCCCTTTTTCGGGCAAAGGTATGCCGTTTGAATATATCATTTTTTCAGGTATTATGTTTCCAGAACTTTTTTCCAGGCACGGTCATAAAGTTTCTTCCAGCAGTAATATCGCAGTCAGTTTTCTCTAAGGTGAACACAAGGGCAGTTTCATGAAGACTGCCCTTGCCTTCTTTATATGAAGTGGGATTCATTAAAATACGAACAGATATCCAAAGTAATGACATCATCAGTTATTATCCTGGGATTATGAAATAACTTTGGAAGTAGAAAACGTCTTGAATACTTGGTACGAAATTGCTGTATGTAATTTGGTTATGGTTCTAAAATCCATGAAAACGACCAAAACAAACAAGAATGAATTAACACAGTCTTTGTTAATGATAGATATAACTGATTTTGGACTTTCAGAGGTATTTTGTTCGAGATGTTATATTTTGTCAAAAGTCAAAATTTCAAAACAGATTGTTATGACGACATATGTTGGGCCTTGGGTGTTTAAACCTCCTGACACCGCTTGAACTATAGCATATGAACTATAATTTGTGTTTGAATTATAAGTGAAATCATATACTGAATACCCAGCAGCATGTTACAATTGGGCCACATGCCTATGTGGCGAAAGTTGAAAAGTGTTATAATTGATATGGTAGCCAAACGACGGGTCTTAACATTTCTAATCGCAGTGGAGAGACAATTCTCTTTATCTATTCACAACAAGCAACAAAATTGATGATTCAATTTTTTCAATCCATGTATATTTTCAACAATAATTAACTAAATACAGAATCAAAATAAAATTTTGATGTTTTAAAGTTACATTAGACAATTATACAAACGAGAAGAACAATACATCAATTTACCAGAATATTACTGAAGAACATATGGAAAGAGCTCTGAAAGAGCTTTCGGGCCATATGCCCCCAGTGATGTGTAAAAGATCAGGAACAGTTAATAAACATGCATTCAATACTAAAATTTAAGAAAAGAAAAGAAAAGATAAGACCCAACAAATGAATAGGAATTGAGCCAATTAAATAATGACTATTTAATCGGAAGGATACAGACATATAATAAAGAGTCGATGCATCGAGCTGAGAAGATACACGAATCTAAAACATACATTACTTAGAAAGTACAACAATTGCTAAATCTTTGTTTTATTTTCTTTATAAAAGATCTACCGAATTGCTCTACTTTGCAAACCAAAAATTATTTCACAAAAACGACATCATCGGTTTCCTGAAAGCCATAATCATGATTGAACAAATAATAATGGTTAAAAGAATGACAACTGTTTTGAAAATTGCTTAGAAAAATATTATATGAATAAATTTCGCCTAGCATGTAGAACAATTTCCTGATAACTTGGTGCCAATGTAGAGTATTCTGAGGAAAAGACATCTTCTATCAACAACGATGCTGGGAAAGTTTTTTCTTAAACGAATCGAGCCTAAAACTAAGGAGCGTCACCCTTAGATTAGGACAAGTCTGCTTATCATTACAAAACATGAGAATAGAGACAGGGTCGAATACTATATCTAGCCAAGCTAAATATCATACTGAGCAAAAGAGCGTAACAACTGATTTTAAATGGATTCAAGTTCAAGCTTCGATTAATGATATTTTGATTACAGCTGTTCTGCTAGATTTATCCCTGAAAAATTGTGTCATCCGATGACGTCATCAATGAAAATTTTAAATACATCAAAAATTTTATACATTAGTCGAAATGTCGCGTTACCCTCTATCCACACGGTTATATTTTATTGGACTTAGCTAGATGTACAAGAAAAAGAAAGTCAACGACAATTATTCATTTGTGATGTCATCAAAAAACACCAGTTCCTGTCAATATTCAACATGCCCTAAGTGAACTTTGATTCCAATGTATCTGAAAACCCTAAATCAGTATTTAGAGGCTTGACTTAATGGCTTTTTTCAATTGATTAGAGACCCGTGTGAAGTATTCGGTGCAGTGGCAGAATAGCACGCCCAGCTTCTCTCTGATCCCGTTTACACGAGAGTGGATCCAATCTAGATCGGATCCAAAAGAGTACGGATAGGCCCTGCGTTTACACGGGAACTGGTGGATCCGGATACTTTTGGATCCGCTATCCGAACAATTTTGGGATTGCTTTCAGAGGTGATCCCGTATGGATCCGATCTGGACCGGACCCTGTGTAATCTGGGTCTGGGTGGATCTGGTCCAGATCTGATCCGTCTACGTTAACTGGCGAGAGTGAGACAGAATATTTTTCAATTCAAGGTAGTTTTAATATGTAATCCGTGGCTCTTTGGCGCCAGAAAACCGATCATCAAGTTGACAGACTACTGTGTTGAAGAATTATTACGAAACTTTGACGATATGTCGTCGTACTTTGTTCTCATATTTTCCCAATCCTGTCCACCTGCAAGCTTTGCAGTTTGTAGTACAATACTACTTTTAAAAGTTGCTCAGTTTCTTCTTCAGTCCACACAAATTTGCCCCTTTTAGCGTTACCTCCCTTCATGTTCAGGTTGAACTGTGTTTTGATCACGCACAAAGTTCTGAAAACGTCATATGCGCGCCAATATTCGAAAAGCGCATGCGTGTAACCTGTCGAATTCATCTGGATCCGTTCCCGTGTAAACGCAAATGGATCTGGATCGGATCCCGTGTAAACGCATTGCCACTTCAGGGATCGGATCCAAAAGTTTCCGGATACTTGTGGATCCGATCTGGTCCAGGTCTCGTTTAAACGGGGTCTCTAGGCAATCTTCTGTCGATAGTTTCTAGTTACGTCTGATCTTCATTTCAGAAAAATAGATGTTGCCATGGTAATTATCAATTGTTCTCCATGACATGTAACTAGGATCTGATGAAACCTTACTTGGAAATAACCCATTAAGCTGGCAGTTATGACATCCGTTATACCACCAGCCACCTTTGAAAGAGTTGGCACAGTTACTAACAAGATTGTTATCGTTGTCACTATCTTTGGTAGTGAATACCATGTTGTTATTTGTCATATGAGATGGAAGCATGTTAAAAGCATCACCAGCCGTTCCAGAATATCCAGAAACACTGATACGGTATCGATCACTCTTATCGCTAATTTGGAAGCTACGGTATGTTGCGAAGAAAAGCTCATCGCCTTTAAGTCGGTGCTTCAGATCTATTCGAAGGGTGGTACTGACATTAGGACTAGCAAGAGAGTGCATATTTTCTAACCCGATCCACATATTTTTTTCGATACTGCCAAATCCATGTTTATAATCAGACCAGCCACGTTGAAAATCGGTTGAGCCATCAATACGGCGTTGTATCACAGTCCAACCTCCGCCGTCTGTTTTCATGTCACAGTAAACATTCATAACTTGATTGTTTGAGTTCGGTCTGATTATATCGTAGATGCCACTGTCTCTTTTCCCGCTGTCGTAGAGGTCCTTGCAATCTATGGGATGAGCAAATGGAATGAAATTCCAATAAGCGAAAGTAGAGGAGCGAGGTCGTGCTTGGAATTGTATGAAAAGAACTAGTTTTTTCACACTAGACGCACTCGGGGCATCACAACGAACAGTGTCAGAAAAGAATCGAAAGAGTTTTTAAAGCTAAATAATTTCAGAAATCTACGCGAACAATCCTTCACATTGATCCTTTGACTTTGCTCTACATCGTAGATTTCCTTAAAGATTTGCAAAATCTGAAGGGAATTTAAACTACAAAACGGCTCATTGTTGCCTTTGATTCTACAAATGATCTTAAGGAAACCAGCGGATTTTACAAATTACGCTCCAAACTGTATGGTATTTTTTCTGCTCGGGGAATGCCAGAACAATAATTTTGAAATTTGCGAATAATAAATGTTTCCCGCGAAATCATGCGCGGAATTTGAAGCAGAGGCATTCGAAGAGACCTTGTATTCTTTGTTTTTTCTTGTTATCAGAAATCAGAATTTTGAATGGTGGAATATTCGCGAGGAACATGACCAGACAAACAAATATTGTGCGTGGAATTTACGGCAGATTCTCAATAATGCACGGGCGGAATGAAGGATAAAAATTATTGCGCGGGGAACGCGCGGGGAAAAGACCATACTTTTCAGTCTGCATTAGACTCATGATTCCATTAAGCAACCAGAGTGCTGCAAACATGATTACCACTGCTAAACTCAGGGGTTTAGTTCCTTTTTGATATATTTTTATCATATTTCGAATAAATTTGTAATATTACGCCTTCTTTTCTTATAAAAACTCTTAGGATATAAAAATCTTACAGTAATTTTCATAAAATCAAAGGATGAAAACACAGGATAATAAAAATTTTGCTAAAGCAGATAGAATGTTATCAGAGTTAAATTCAGAGTTGATGTACGCTCCGACATCATTTACAAATCTATCCACAGGAACCTTACCCACAGCTAAACAATGCCCCTGTGGAGGATATCTAATATTTGCATGTTTTTGTCCCCTTTGGCATGGTTGTATTATAAATTAGAGCTTTTTAAAATTTCGGATCTGGTCTGAGAATTTGTCACGTCTACTGGTGTTAGAAAGCAATTAATATCCATTTACTTTTATTTCTCTTGATGCCACCATTATAATGAACTGGGGAGCATATCAAGGGTGAAGGTACAATCACTACCAAAATTACTTGGAACACCTAACACTTTGCGCTGTGCTTTTCTATTTTTCATTTCTTTTCTTGAATACTACCACTTCCGCCCCTCCTTTCCCCCAAAACAATGTTGAAAGTATAGAAAAATATCAAACAATCCACAAGAAAAAGCGTACTCCATAACCCCTTTCTTTTTTCTATAGTAAATCAACATTGTTCCTAGGGGGAGAGGGGGATGGCTGAGTTTGCCTTTGAAAACCTACGTTAATGTTCCAACACTTTTGGCAGTGATTGTAGGTACAAAGTTCCAGGGGGCCGGCAAACAAGCTATTTCTAAAGCTAAAAACAAAGAATAAGAAGAGTGGAATCCCGATATCACAAACCCCGGTTATAACCAGCTTCACGATATAACGAACTAAATGTCTGGTTCCTTGGATTCTGCCTAACAAACTTCTTACAAATTCTCTCGGTATAACGAGCCCCGGATATAACGAACTCTCGATGTTACGAACCAAATTTTGGGTCCCTTCATCATATTTACCCTCGATATAACGAACTTTTCATAATTTTTCGTTTGTTATTTTCATTCATTTATTTTTGATGTTCATTTATCACTTTCTCTTGGGGGAAATCATTATTGTCATCGGCAAAACATTCTGTTGATACATTTCAAGCCCTGGCTTATAGGCTCAGTAGCACGGGATAAACAAATAAAAATGTGAAGTAATCGAAGACGTCATTCAGCCGCCAACTAGAAGCGAAGCGATACCAGCATTGCCAATGTCTAGTCCCAAATTATAAGAGGAACATAAACATTTTCATTTTCGATGACTGACCATCAGTAATATTTGAATTGTGCATAGAAATGTGCACAGAAGTTGGAGATGCCTAAACAAGCCCACCGCAGGTTCTTTAGGCGTGAACAACTGCGAAAGGACCAAGAAACGTTTTCTCCCGGTTTAGCGAACTCCTGATATAACGAACTATTTTCTGGTTCCTTGGTTTATTCATTTATGCTAGATGCTAGAATACAATGATGCTAGAATATAATTGTACTTGCTAACCAAAAAAAGCCAGGTCGTTCATAGGTAGTCTGAAAAGTGCTTTTCTAGTGTATCGTTTAAAAACTATCATAACAAGTTGCAAGACGACAAAAGATATAAAACAAATAGTAAATGTAGTAGAAACCCTAATTTCGCGATTATCAATTTTTTAGATAATACACCTGTATTTGAAATATATTTCAATTTTCGTTCAATGTTTTAAACTTCTCCAAGAAATTGTATTTCTACCGAAACTCTCCAGGTTGCGTAGCAACCTTTTTATTAAAGTCAGACCAGCTTTTCTCATGCCGTCAAAGTTTCCAAGAGATACTGTGTAATTTGAAAATATTGTCATATAATGCAATTGTACATTTTTGATTCACCGTACTTGATTGCTGAAAAAACGAAAACGCCTGTTTGGGACAATTTCATGTCAATACAACTCTAAAATGAGAAAAATCAACCCAATGCTCCCTGAAATGGTTTAGATTGTATTCTCAAAGTCAAAAGTCTTACAACCATTACTTGTAGCCTAAATATTCTGCTGTTATGCAAAAAGTCTGCATCATAAAATACGCCAACAACAAATAATTGATTTGTCTATTATTCGAGAGCTTAAACGATTGTCCAAAGCTCAGCAGAACAAAACACTCACCTGTGGGTTGTTTGACTTTCTTCCATGCAGCAATGACACTTTCATCTTCTTCCAGGGGAGTCATTTCTGTATTTGTTTGGTAATGTCCTGTACCCTGACTTTTTAGAACACGAGAACAAGAACTTGCCCGGTCACAGTGAAAAAATTCTGGTTTTATAAAAGCTTCTTCCATTTTCAGACTGACTTCATCTCCATTCTTCGTTTGCTGGAAGAAATTGCCGATGGTGGCAAAGTTACTTTTGACAAGCAGAAAATAAGCCTGAAACCAGAATATGTCTACAATATGTAACCTCATTTTTTCTCAGATGCAGATGCAATCGTCCTTGTAGTGCTGTCCTTGATAGAGCAGTTTCCTTCAAAACGTTGCTCACAATTCAAATTATACATGAATAATTTATGTGCATATTATGCAGCATCTCGATTCCAGAGAGTTTTGCCTCGGGTCGATTTTCCACGAACCTATCATTCTTTTTTGCACCATATCTTCCTACATTTTAGTTTTTTACCAGAAAGATCTCAGCCCTTTTTGTAATAGATTAAACTTGTTTCAGATTATGTTGTAAAAAGTAAAAATTCAAAAATTAAATATTATGACGTCACACTTTTGAAATAAATTATGATTTTGAGTGTTGTAACCTCCTAAAACTGCATAAATTAACAGAAGCGCTTTGACATAGTTTGTGACAAGATATACTTAATACCAAGCAAATTTGCGCTACATGCTTTCTGTAGCGAATGCTATAAGAAAATGGTACTGTCGATATGCTAACAAAATCCCGATTTGTTATATTCAATAAAATTGTTTCTTGCATTTTTCACAAAAAACAACACTTCTGGTATGCCCAATATATGAATTACAATTGATCTTAGACGTAAAAGAAACGCCAAATGAAACGAGCTGAGCGGATTCACAAAGCTGAAACAAACTTCACTTAGAAAATTGCAGCACAATTTAATATTTGTCTTACTTTCGCTATTATAAAGTGTTTAAAAAAGATAAAAATTTATAGATGTCCGCCGGAGAAACCAAAAAGAGAGGGAGAATTTCAAAATGATACGATAATACAAATAATATTTTTGTATGATAAACAGTAAATTTAACATAAGATGTATTAAAAATAGCGTCTTGCTATTACAACCAAGCCACCTTAACTCGCAAGATTCAATTGATTTAAATAATTTTCTAAAGCATTCAGCAATCACAAATAAATGCAAATGGCGGTACTACTTTAATATGCTTAATATACGTAAATATGCTTCTCCTAAGGGTTACAGTAGGATTTCATTAATAGAATGGAAAAAAGAAGAAATAGCAGGGGTTAAAATTGTAAAATTAGCAATATAAGCTAGTAAGGGTCTAGGAGGTAACCTATCCAATCATAGAAGACTACACTGATGACTCCCAAGCTATCTCAGCACAGCATGAAGCAGAAGATAAGCAAAAAGATGAAAATGTTTACTTTAAAGAGGAAGTCAGCGACTGGCGAAAATGGAGATATTTAATGAATGAAATAGAACTTGCACTTCCTACGGCGTCAGAAAACTTACTATCCAAGCTATCAAAATAAAAAGATAAACAATATCGAGCTCAAATCAAACCCCTTAAATAAGACGTTAATTAAGTCGCAACTTCGATCGAATATAGGGCGGTTAACTAACGCAGTACGCATGGGTTTGATTAAAGCGAAATTGCTTGAATCGCGTTCGATAGCCCACAATTTGCATGTCTGATGGGTAAGTCTTCTCTCAAGTGCGGCATAAAGTTTGAGTGATACCACCATTTTAATCAAATTTCGCTATCATCTGTACAGATCTGCATAAATTTTGGTCTGTACATTCCAAAAACAACATGTTATTTTCATAAAATCTTTGAATTTCTCCCACCTGCTTATTCTTTTTTATAAGACTAAGATTCTTGAGAAAAATTTCCCGCTGCCGTGGCTATAGAGTGAATAAAGATAATGGATACAGAATGAATAATATTATTACAAAAAAACATATTTGAAGGACCTGGTGTTTTGCTTCATACTCAAGTAAAACAAATGGATTTTCAGTAAAAACTAGTTTGTTTTGTTTATTATTTTGTTAGCCATCTTACGAATAAACAAAAGAAAACATTAAAAACGAAAAATACAATCGCATTATTTTTAGCTAGTCCCACCATTAGCTGTTCGTGGGTAAAATATTTGCACTTGTCCTTTCATTTTCATTCTTGACCAACTTGCCGAGACTATCCAGGGAAGCTGAACTCAGAATACCAACAAGCTGCAATGAATAAGATCATGATGCCTCAGAATCAGAAAAGAAGGAAATTAAAAAAATCTCAGATGATGGCAATCTAATAAATAATAGGACTCAAAATAATTCCATTAGAATTTTGCTCTAGCAAGTGGCCAGTAGATAAACTTGTTTATGTAATATCGAAGTATGTTTTTATCTCATTCCCTTGGATACCTATTTGACAAACAATATCAAAAAAACTCGCTGGAAACACTGAAATCAATTATGCATCCAAAGAATAAACGTTTAGTCTGGTACCTGTCTGTTGGAGAAACGTTTTAGCGAATTTGCGATGGCTTGCATTCTGTGTACCCTTTTAAAGTGTTAACTTTAACACCACTACTGACACGGTTCACAATAAAAACAAACACCTACCTTCAAGAATTCTTCCTGGTTTATTTTTGACATTGAATCTAATTCAACTTTGTTAACTAGTTTTTCGAAATGATCCTTAGCGAAAGCCAGTTCTTTAGCCCTTTCCAACGCAGATTTTACGGATGCCAAAGAAAGGTGTCCTATGGAGCAAAGCAGGTTTAATCACAACGAAAATTGGCCCGGCCAGACGATAATACTTTTTGACTGAAAAAATTTAGAAATAGCTTTGAAAAAGCAAACATTTTGAGAAGATATTGAAAATTTTCGTCTGAAAAGATTTAAAAGTACATTTACATTCAATAAAATTTACAATACAATTTCACTATAAACGCTGGGTACAAAAGGACTTTAAAAGATTACGTGCAATATACCGCATCATAAGAAAAAAGTTGAAATTTACAATGAGAAAAGATAACAAAAAGAAAATAAGCGATTAGAAAAGCAAATAACATTGGTTGCTTCATAATGTGAGTTGGGCACGGCACTTTACCGAAAGCGCCCAATATTGCAAATAGAACATATCGCTTACTCAAGGAAGCTTCTAATAAGTTGTGTAACGGAGGCATCTGGGGCTCTAAAACTGAGACTGGCCCCCTATTTGCGGACTGTAAGAAAGTCCAATTCAACGCATTTTAGCATGTAAAGCACTATCGTAGATATAAAAATGGTGATTCTTTCTCGTTAAGTAGGAAAAGCTGAGTTATAGAAGTTTAGTTCAAGAACTGAAAACTTTTTGAAAATAGAGTGAACTTTAGGGAAATCTATTAAACATGCATATAAAAAAATGTGAGGGCCCTTTTGGTAGAATTCAGGGGCCTTGAATATCGCACTAAGGTGCCCTGCGTTAAGTCACTGCGTCTAACAATTTCGTTTGGAGAAATTGTGACAACATACAATAAGGTTTACGACAAGTCTTTATTTGAAAGATCTCCATAAGGTCACCATAGAGTGTAAAAACCAGCGAGGAGGTCAACTAGAGGTGATCCGTATCCTCAACCCCATCATTGGTTAGGCAACGTGGCCAGGCACGCTGGTTGGGCACATTGTATCACTGAAGTTGTATTGAAACTTGTGTATATTAAGCTTGCTGAAATTTTGTCAACAGAGTCTGCACGCAGGCTAGCTGAGGCCAGCTCTGAGTTGTGTAAGATAACATAGGCCATTCGGACCATGAATCCCAAATACGGATTTTCAGGGTAGGGGGTGCGAAGCACAGATAGCAGCTTTGTTTCAAAGACATCATCAGGCAGCAATAATCTTACTTCAGGATCTAGTTTATCCTATTCTGCCAAACAGTGAAGATAAATGGTAGATTGATATTTTTGCGTCCTTGCTAGACTTTGACCGATGGCATCAGGTTTGCAAAGAACAGTTGTAGTTGGGGTATTGGATATCTTACGTTGGATCGGGGTTAGATTGTTTAGAATCTTTCAAAATATGGTTATCCCATCATCGGAGGCTCAAAAATTCCTATCCAAGATCAAAGCACAATTGATCTCGAGACGTCCCTCTCCAAGATCCTGTTATAATTATACATATAATTGATTCTTTATTATAGGTTTGGTGCTACATAGCGAAATTTGCAAATTAAAAACGGTACAGTGCCAGTTTCTCTTCATCGATAAAATCATCAAAGTGGGTTTCAGTGATACCAACAAAGTCATATAAACAAAGTTGTATGCTTCTAAAAGGGAAAACTCGTCGGTAATCATATGCAGTAATCCTGTTTAAATTACAGCTGCAAAAGTCAAGGGTATCTGGACTAGGGTTTGTTTGTATATCAAAAGTAAGCCGAATCGATCTAAGAATAGTCTATTGTGTTAAGAACATGTAGCATGATTTGCATCCAACAAAAACTCACAATAGGGTCATTTGTGGCTCCGTCGCAATCTATCTATTTTGTGATGAAAAATTTGATACTAGGCAATAGGCAAAAACGATACAAAACGACGAGGAGAAATCGATTATAAATAAATTTGATTTGAAAAATCAAACAAAAAGTTTAGTTAACTTCTAGTTCCCTCAGCATACGGCTCTTCGCTAGAGTAAGCGAGAAACTGAAACATACCTGTTTTGTCAGTGTCAAGTCCTTGGAAAACTTGTTGATATTTGCTTATGTCATCTGAATTCAAAGCTACAGGGACATCTCGCAGACTTATCCGTGTCTTGTACCCCATCGTGTCAAGAAATGCCCGACCTGTATTCAGCTCATGCTAAAATGTACGGGAAAATAAAACTGGCTTTTTCACAAGAATCGTACTTGGTAATACGCAATAAATTAAGAACGATCTCTTGAAAATGACTGTGGAAATGGACCAAACGGAATAGTGAGCAGTTGCAAATTATTAGCATCTTATCAAAGAGTGGGGATAAAGCTGCTGCTGTAATCCAACTTAGAATGGGTATCTACAAGGACCCGAGGACCGATAATCCTAAAAGACAGTTTGCAGATATTTTCGTACATTAATTGTATGGAAAACTAAGGGACAAAGATAGTATTAGAAGACTTATTAAGGTTCAACTGTTAGCGTTGGAGGAGGAGGGAGCGGAGTGTGCGGTCGCGACCCAGGTGAGGGGGGCTGTAGGTATTCCGTTTAGTGATGCGTCTTGTGAGATAAAAATAAGGCGTGAAACGATCCTGAGAGAGTTCGTCAGATGGTCAGACGGTCATTACAAACATTTTTAAAAATATCATTCCTAAATTAGCAGGATATCGGTTTCGATTCACCATTTAAGTCTGTGAAAGTCTTCTAAATATTAATTTGCTTATCCATAGATATTGATTTTGCAGCTTAAATGTCAACTTAAATATCAATATCCTTTAAAGGGATGACATTATTTCTCACATTTGGCAACCTAACTTTGAATACAAGAAAATAGGGCAGATAAAATTAGATTCATACTGAGTCAGTTCGATCAATCGGAAACCTGTTCAAGTAAAGCTACCTGATCTATAAAAAATCTTTGACAAGTATCCGAAATAATCACTTGATTAATCTGGCATGTAGCCAACCCTGACAGCTGTTTGCGCATGAACTTCGCTAAAGACGATTAATCGCGGGCCGTATCATTTGATCAGAGTAGGAAACAAACCATGATTATCGGGTGAAGCTACAGACTATCACGAAAACAATAACGCGCAAGATTGTAGCAGATTTGCTGAAAATAGACATGACGTTATAGGTAGAGCAAAGATAGCTAGCAACGTCCATTTTTAACTGTATCAAAAAATGGGGTTTTAGCTTTGATGATGGTATAGATGTAAATGTCGGATACCTTACGCTTACTTTCATCCCAACCCAACTCCTCTCCCATTATCTCGATAACTCTTGGCAGGATTTCATCTGCAGCCTGAACATCAAGAAATGCTATTCTCAGTCTTCTTCCGATCATGTCCACAACATTCAAAGCATATTCCTACGATGCAAGACAAATCAGAAGGATGAAAAACATAGTCAAGGAATACCAAGCTGCCAGTTATCTTAATTCAATACTGATTATTAGCACTTACTCTATAATCTCGACAACGTGAGCATTAACTTTGAATTTAACCGGGCATTCATTTGTTGCAACAAATTAAAACTCGTATTAAAACTTGATATGATGAAAAATAAAATTTCTATCAAACATTTTCCTTTTTATCACATGATTGAACCCTAGTCTTATAATTTCTGCTTATCGCTTATCTACGCGAACCATCAGCTTATTGACTTTCAAAAGCGGTGACTTTTATTTCATGAGCCATAATTAAACCATACAAAAAACGAAGGGATTATAAAAAAGGACCATATTTCTTCTTAAAAGCGCTCTTTTAAAGGGTGATTTTAAAAATTTTGACGGCTTTGAGGGGACGCTTTTCAGAGAGAGGCGCTTTTTCGATAGCGGGCTCGTTTGAGAGGAAATATGGTACCCCTTATATGGGGCCAGCCTTAGGCCTGGTTCAAACGTCGCACTCCTCATGTGCCGAACCTAACTCTGTTTGGAGCGACACTTGAGCATGTTTAGCGCGACTCTCGTTTCAAACGTCGAACTTAATCATGTCGCGCCAAATGGGTTTTTGGATTGTTACATGAAGTATCTTGGTTAAGGCGCACAATCTCAAATATTTGTTTGAAACGCATGCGCCCTCCAAGAAGAAAATGAATTCTGTGAAGGAAAATAAATTAAATATAATTATGCATTGAGTTCGGTACATGACAAGCTCGACGCATGAAACCGTGCCGTGCTGGAGCCGTGCAGCTCGGCAAGCTCTGCCGATCCAAACTAGCCTGCCGCTCCTAACTAAATCTGTCGTACCAAATGGATTCAAACGTCGCGCCCCTCATGTACTTAATTCTCGAGTTAGGTTCGGCACATGAAAAGCGCGACGTTTGAACCAGGCCTTAGACATACTACGACACCCAGCACCTCTGCAAGACGTTATTCAAATTTGAATGACTCAATGTGCGAATATAGGGACAAATATAAAAAAAAAGAAACTTGCAATGCACACACCTGTACGCCATATCGAATCTCTGCCTCAATGTAAGGAAAGTCAACTACCAATCGCTTGCCAACGACAGGCCACCGGTTTCCTGTCAATGCAGCCAACTTTGCCACTTGTGGAGCCTTGTTCCCGTACGATCTTGCGAGATGTTTAGCAACCTGTTTGGAACATTGGGATAACGATATAACCAAAGAAGCACAAATCCTATCAAAACTACGTGGAGCACTGAATAACTTGCTCATGTTTCTCATGTAAATAATTTTGTTCATGTTTTTTCTCAGTCAAAGTCCTCTTATTCTTTGATGCTTTTTACAATCACTCATACATCAAATACTACATTGTTCAAATACTACCACTTCCCAACAGAATTATTTTGATAGTTGAAATAAATATCATAAATTGGCGTGAAAAACATGCTTCCTAGAATCATACGCCAGCTAGTTGTAAATATTGTTCAAAGGGGAAAATGTAGAACTGAAAACGGCCTGGCAAAATGCTGCTTCTGTTTTAATACTTTGACAGGGCCAGTAGCTCACAAATCAACAAGGTAAGACTTTAAAACCAGATAGTCAAGGGTTATAGTGATAGGGAAAGCTCACGCATTAGCGATGTCGTTTTGCGACATAATCTATTTCCAATTCTTATTACGTCATATGCATCTTAACATAACCGACATCATTTATCATCGTCATCATCATTAGAGTCAACAGGTGTTATCATTTACACAACAGCATACTGCGCCACAAGAAGGAACGAGAGTGAACATAAAGTATATGCAAATCAACAGCAACAACATTGCTAACAAACACAACTAAAACAGTAGGGAATCAATCGAAGAGCAGATGATTCAAACAACCATGCACGAAATAAGCCGACCATTTTAAACAATCATGTGTTTGGCTTTACAAGTGCAGGTTTGAGGCTTTTTATATTCCCGATAATCATGAAATCTTATTTTGAACAAACTCTAATTAAAAAAGAAAAACATTTCTACATCCGACCCTCACTTTATGGTCATCAAAAATCCCGAAACCAATGCTTGCTGGAAAGCACAACTGAATACATTTTATATAATTCAATGAAAATTTCAATATGAGGATCACGGCGAATATCGATGATCATAAGTTTCATTTGAAAGGGCAAATTGAAAATGGTAGAAAAGTAAACTTAAATAAATTATATATACTTGAGGATTAAGCCTTGTTTTAACGAAAATTAATTCCCAAATTGAAATGCCACTTTTTAATAAAAAATTCCATATTCAGATTTTCGAATATGATTTTCGAACACTAAACAAAAACAGAGACTGGCTAAAGGTCTTGATCTCTTCAAAATAAGGGAAATCTTGGCTTCAGTGAGAACAAATTCAATAAAAATGATTAGAATATGAAATAAAGGATAAGAAATAGGTATTAGTCATCAAATTCTTTGATATCAAATAAGTTTTCTTTGCCAGCTAAAGATAATTTGCAGCTCATCAAGATACAGAATATAAAATGTTTAAAAATATTTCAGTTCTACTACTGCCTAAAGTTTGGATAATTTGAATAAAAACATTTAACGGCATATGATTTCGAGCTTCTAAAGCAAATAAAAAAGTTGCTTTAATAAGGAACAACTGTCATTATGGGCATGTAATGCCACAAGCAGAAGCACCACTTATTACTGCAGAAAGATGCGATCAATAGAGGGACAGGCAATTCTCAGCCTGATGTCCAGAGAATGGTGCAATAATTCGTCAGGTTTTATTCATTAAACAGTATGATCAATGTTGATACCAACAAAAGGCCTCTGTATCAATGCTTAATTTGGTCAGAATGGATTTGGTGCAAAAATCGCAAGTTCGATTAATAAGGCACAGGAGAACCTGAAACTTGATACCCAGAATTCTTTAAAGTTTACAGATCATGATGCCATGTTTATCACCCATCCTTTCTTCGTTAATTTACTTATACTTTGGCCACTTAATCAAATGAAACCTTCATATACAAACCTCAGGCTCTAGTCCAAAATCCTGCACCAAACGAATAAAGTAAGTTGGAGACCATCCTTCCCCGCCTTCAAGCACAAGGCCAGTAGTCTTGCTGTCACCTGCCGATAAATTTGATGCCTTGATAGCTGCATCGACTGCATCAGATGCCATTGCACGGTATGTTGTCCATTTCCCACCGGCTATGGTAATGAGGTTGTTTTCAGATACCTCAATGACATGGTTTCTTGAAATCGATTTCGTGTCCTTTGATGACGGGTCCACTACGAGAGGGCGAATTCCACTCCATGCGGCCAGTACATCCTCCCGTCTGACTGCAAATGGAAATTGATAACGATTGAAATCAGTGATTGTTAAAATAGGTACAGGAAATTCATATTGAAAATAAAAATTTCATTACTTGACTCGACTTTGAAAAACAATAGCAAAAATTGGGCGGTTAAAGGCTCTTGCACAACCGGCATGCTTTGCGGTAGCCATTTTTGCACGAGGAGAAATGGAATGTATTTGGTGAACTCATTAGGCCAATTTAAAAAAAAAGGGTCGCGAAGCATGCCGATTGCGCAAGAGCATTTAAAGAATACTGTTTAATCTCTCTGTTCCCAGGATAGCAAATAAAACGAAGTAATACAAATCAAAAACTGTATCGTAAATTGTTGTAAGTGAAATGATGAACGTTTGGAGAGTTTTGAGAAAGTATACTACAATGAACTCTACCATGGGGTATAAATATAGCCTTTCGTTTGATAGCGAAAGGGAATTAGTGGGCAAAAATTTAAAGCAAATGATTTCTACAACCGTGAGGCCATGGGAGAAGAGCTAGTTTCGAGCGAGTTGTAAGAATGAGTCATTGAATGTAGGAAATATAGCTTTAGAGTTGTTGGTCAGTGGAAGAATTGTAGAACATCAACAACTAAGATAATTTGCATATAATGGACAAAAAGTACAGAGCCTACGTAAGCTAAGCAGGACAAAACGACATCTAAAATTATATATTTAAAAAGTACCTTCTACATCGGCATTGAAATATTGTTTGACTTCGTCTAGTATGAAATTAACCTCGCTTTCCCGCGGGATTGGTGAAAAGGTGGCCTCACAAGGAGAATCCGTGGTACCAGCGATTGTCCTTCCTTCCCAAGGGAGAAAGAAAATAACTCTGCCGTCACTTGTTGCTGGATCAAGCAGTCCCATGCTTTTTGGGCTTTAAAATGGAGAAAAGACATTTTAAAGAAGAAAAAACCGCAACTGGCTGTTAACTTTGAAACTTAAAGAACAAAGATTACTTGTTGACACTAAAACTTTGAGATTTGATTAAACTCAACAATAAATAATAAAATAACATTAGTATCACGATATAATGCAATATAAAAAAATCAATTACTGCACTTTCAACATAATACAATGAGTACACAATATGATATACTCTTCTTGGTCACATAGAGCAAAAGCAACCATTGGATAAGTACTAGCAACAGTGTCAGCAAAGTTACTGTTAATTTTATAGCGTTGGGTTGGATAAATTGGTGCTTAGACGCGAAGAGCCTGGGTGGCAGCAAGTAATAAAACGTGTATATACCCGACGCCACCAAATGTGGGAGATTTCCTTTTACAACAAAAGCCATTCAATGTATGAAGGAAAGCACTGCTCATACCTGTAGTACTCGGGCAAAATAATATGGACCCCGGCACTTGTCTGACATATTTTTGCGGTACTGTTTTTGGCCATTTTTCTCACACTGTCAGTGAAGGGACCAGTAGCGTTTATAACAGACTTCGCATGAACATCCCACTCTTCTCCTGTCTCGGTATTACGAACTCTAGCACCACATACAACTTCTTTTTCTTCATTATCTTCAAAAAGACAAGAAAGTTCATAAAAGTGAATGTGGCTTTGAAAAAAACAAACATTTTACAACATATTGGTTAAAAGCTTTTTCCTCTGACACTCCTCAGAGCATATAACGTCAGAATAAGGTAATTCTCCACGACAAAGAAACATTTGCTAAATTGGATGATGTCGAAACATAGGACAAAAGGCCAAACTAGAGCGGAAACTCCAAAAACATTTGTAGGAACTGGTCAACTAAAAAGTGTTGGCTACAGAAATTTATGATAGGATAAGACCCACGGACTCTCAACGACCATAAATGTATGGCCTCTTTAAAATACACAAGCCGAACGTCCTACTTAGACCTATATTGTCTAGCACAATATGAACTGGCTAAGTAGCTTTCTGAAGTTTTGGACCCTGTCCATAAAAAGTATTCAAAACATTGCATCAAGGATTCCTTTAAGTTCGCTGAGTTCATGCAAAACTTGAACATCGAAAACGAAACATCTTTCATATGTTCTTTCGATATTAGTAGTCTTTTCACAAATGTCTCTTTGAATGAGACCATCAAAATATGTGCCGGCGCTTTGTACCGGAGCGAGCTTAATAGCCCACCATTCCCAGAGGAAGTTTTCATTGAACTGATGGAAACTGCAACACGTTCAGTTGAATTCAGTTTTAACAATGAAAATGTACCAACAAAAGGATGGTGTCGCTATGGGTAGCCCTCTGAGACCTGCCTTGGCCAATATTTTTGTTGGCTTTCATGAAGAGCGTTTACTCGACTACAACCAAAAGCCAGGTGTCTATTTTCGGTATGTGGGTGACACATATACTATTTTCAAAACAGAGACTGAGTGTGATATTTTTCTAAAACACCTTAATAGCCTACATCCAGCCCTCCAGTTTACGTTTGAAAAGAAAGAAAATGATTCCTTGCCATTTTTTAATGCTTTGGTCGAAAGGTCTAACCTTGGATTTTTTATCAGTGTATATAGCAAGCCTACTTTCACCGGTCAGTACATATGCTGGAATTCATTTTGCCCAAAACAACGCAAAGTCAATCTTGTCTAAACTTTAGTACATAGGGCACTGACGATCCGCTCGAAATCTAAACTGCACGCTCAACCGGCTATCCAGAAGACGTCATTTTATCTTATACTAAGGAAAAGATCGCAAGTTTCTCGGCTGTTCAAAAGTTTGGTCCGCAAAAGTGCCCAGGTTGTTTGAAACTACCATGGATTGGTAAGGTAACACTTCCTTGCAATTCGAGAGTCAGATTAGGCAAGCCATAACAAAATGTTTCGTTGCTGTCAATCCTCGTATTGTTTATAGCACAAGGAGAGCCCTTCCATCCATTCAAAAGGATTGCGCTCCTACCAACCAAAAAAGTCCCGTTGTTTATGAATTCACGTGCCAGTGTGATCCTGGCTACGTAGGATGCATAACCCAAAGATTGGGGGATAGGATAAAACATCATGTTCCTTTCAACATAAAAAGCAAAACTGTCCCTCAAGAGAACAGCCTCCTCGATCTTGTAGGTCTAGAAACACTGTTAAAACAAGTGATTCTGCCATTGGTCAACATCTTTTAGACAGCCCAGATTGTGCAAAACTCTATAATGACGACATGTTTCGGATAATTGGCAGAGCCCGGTCGTCCTTCCATCTAGCAGTTTTGGAATTGATCTACATACAAACGAAAAAGCCGCCATCGTGTAGACAGAAGGAGTTCGTTTTCTTTCTTGGACTCCAGTGGTAATTTTTCTTTAGGCACGCGGCACTGATTGGTCAACCATACCGGTCTTGTGCTTGCTGTTTTCTGATTGGCCTATTTCGATTCACAACTGGGCATATATTTTTCATCGTGTTCTTTCGGACCCTAATTCTGACAATTTCCACCTTTTATGCCATCACACAAATTTTACACAAAGGTAACAATTATTATCCGAGAGCTTTCTCTCAATTTTCTATTATTAATGGTAAATATTTCCGAAGTAAAATTATTAATGGTTGGTTCGCTCGCTGAAAAATAAGGAAAATAAAATAATTCCTTTTAACTTAAGTGTAAAGTATTATCACCTACTCTAAGAATTTAAATTTTCGCATCCACAGGTTATAACCTCAGGGACCTTTATCAGAATTATCGTTACACGTAAAAAAGAACACAATGGACACAGCAGGACGCTGTCTAAATTGCCAATTTGCAATGGAAAAGAGTGAGTACACTGTCAAAATCGAGCGTGTTTTAGAAAAGTATCTCAAATTTTGATAAACGTGGTTGATGCCTCAACTTTGTAAGCATGCTTGGCTACTGCATTATAACAATTTATAATGTGATTACCAGTTCTAGTTGTCTTTTTTAAAAGGTGTACCACCTCTACATGGTTGAGGCATGTAGCTCCATTCCGGATAGCGGTTAATGCCAGCGCCAAGTTTGTCCGTGAATCATTATGTTGACCTACGATAAAAATTTGTCGAATCTTACAAAGCTGAAAAAATTTCATAAAATTCCCCACCATCTTGAAGCTACCGTCAATTCTCCGTACTTTCCACGAGTATGTTTCGCCCGACAATCAATAGAGAATTAAACATATGATAATAATGAAAATGCATTTATGGTACAGCAAAATTTGAAGACGGCACGAAATTGCCGAAGCACACTGAAGTCCTTTTTGTCCGATACTCTACAGGGTATAAACCTCGAATAAACACCGAAGGTAAGCTGAAATTTTATACCCAGGTGTGAACTGAAAACAATGTGAGAAGAAAAAAGACACTTTTGATTGGTTATATTATTTTTTTACCAATCAGCGACCACTAAACTCTTACCTAGTTAAAGAGTCCACGAGAGAAAACGGACTCTTGCTGTCTACACAAGTTTGGATCCTTTGTTTCGATGTAAACAGATTCCAAAGCACCTAACTAAAATAACGACCTTGCCCGCCTAATGATTTTGAAATTGTTGCTACTAAAATTTTGGCACACTCTGTACTTTTGAGCAAATGTTGACCAATTGCCGAATCACATGTTATTTGGGCATTTTGGTTTTTGCAAATACGCCGTGGCTATTGTCTTTTTGAATCGTTTTTCACCTTATGCTTACTTTCGGTCACTATCCGACGCTTATACTCTGAAGAGTGTCGGATGAGAAGTACTTTAGTATTTTATCTTTCTGCAATTTCGTACAATCTTCAAATGATAAAATGTATGCGAAAACGTATTGGCTGCATCATATTTATTACGCTGCATCTACATACTAGGAGTGTCAGACAAAAAGTACTTTAGTATTTTTTGTTCTGCTCTTGTGTGCTACCGTGAAGTTTTGCAGTACCAGCAGTTTGCTCAAATATGGTGCTTAGACATATCTTGGCATATGAACTCCAAGACAGAAAGTATGTAGATAAGCAATCCTATTGTAATCATGTAGCTGTATACAGACGCTAAAGCTACTGTCTTAGGGCCTGTTTATATGGAGAAAATCATCTCACTTTCCAGCCTGTGCGGTGAGAGGTGAGATCTCAATCTTCTACTTTTTACAAAACATTTAGATTTATTTTATATTCTATTCTTATTTAAAATTATATTCTATTATTCTATTCATTTAGATAGATTCTATTTAAGATTTACAAAACATTAAATCATGAGAACCTTATATTTTGTCTGAACTATTCCAGAGAAAAGAGATCAGATATAATCTCAGAATAAAGGACACCGTTTCGCTTCCAAGCACATCCACCACGACCTTTGGCATCAAGTCCTTATGTTTTAGGGGTAGCATACTCTGGAACTGCATGCCAGATGTGATAAAGAGCAGCGAAACGATAGCTTCCTTTTGCAAAAAACAAAAGCATGGACTGGTGAAGGATGCAATTCAAATTATGCTGTCTATTATTAATATTATGTTTTGGTGTATTTAGGTTAAATAGTTGGTTTTTAGAGATTGCACTGCATGGGAGGGTGGATCTCACTGAGATGGGATGATTCTTTCCATATAAACGCTGGAAGGTGGGATGAAGCTGGAAGATGGGATGAAATCTTCATATAAACGCGATCAAATTTCATCCGCCTTGCCAGGACACAAGCTGGAAGGTGGGACGATTCTTTCCATATACAGCTGGGAGGTGGGATAGAATCTGCATATAAACATTCCACGATTTCGTCCAACCTGCCAGATTATGGCCTAAGAGGTGAGCAAATTTGCTCATACAAAAAGGCCCTTAAACTGTACATAGTTAAATATCATACCATCATAATAGATTACAGCACCGCAGAGGTTCTCACGCTTTAGCATTGGAAAAAGTTCTAAGGTCTTTTCTTTGTTCACATAGTAACTACTCTTAACGAGACGCTTGCCGGCCACCAGGTCGTACATTTTGAGACCAGCCCAGAAATAGGGTACTTGCCACCACCTAAAAATGAAATACATATAGCAATTATAACTGAATATTGATCAATAATGAATAGAGATATTTTACTGAATATTGTTCAGTTTTGAAAAGAGCTGTTCTAAAAGCACCTGAAGCTCAAAGAAGAATAATCAATCAAAATATGAATAAGGTAACACGTGTACGGAATGAATAACTTTTCGGCGTAATTAGAAAAAGTGACCGTGAGGTATCACATTTTGGCAGCAAATCGATACATTTATTGGGAAAAGAATACAATAAAAAGAAGTTTACGTTCTATAATAAGGTCGAAAATCCAAAAGGCAGCATTAAAGCCATTATGTAGACAACTATTTTTGTAACCAGTAGTTCTGAACAGACATACATCAGATAATCACCCTTTCAAATAAGATAATAACACCCAATGAATTAGAAGGGAAGGGTGGAAGGTTGAATCATGACGTGTTCCAGATCCAACTGTGTCTGAACAACAGTGTATGGAAATCATTGTTTCCCGGGCTGTCATAGTGTGCTCAAAGCCATATAGGCAGGGTTGTACACGATATTCGGTGTATAGAATAGGACAGTTCCAAGTTGGTACCCTGAGTATTACGCTTTGAACCGTCCAGTTCTAAACACCAAATAGCCTAAACAACTTTGTGTATGGAATTGCAGCAGCGTAAACTACAATGATCAGCAATCGTTAAAGATAGCAGTAAATCATGGATAAGCCAGTTCTATGTCCACGACAGGTAGCATTAAATTTTATTAGCCAATCAGACCAAAGCCAGCCGCAATATGGCACTGAAAATTGCCACTGGCAGGCTTATCTCGTAGAAATAGGGTACATTTTATCAGAAAACCTAACGACACGATATCTTGCAAATGACAGACAGTTTTAGGTATATTTTGCTTTAACTTTCAATCAATCACTGTGCATTGTTAGAAAAATCATCATAATCATAATCATAATCATAATCATAATCATAATCATCATCATCATCATCATCATCATCATCATCATCATCATCATCATCATCATCATCATCAATTAAAATTAACTGCAGTACAATTTAATACTTAAATTAGCTCTTTACGTCTAAATGACAAATTAACTACGAAGCCTAAAAATTTCCCTTAAAATCATGCAGCTGTGGCTCATGTGACATATTTACTGATAATTTATGTTCTCCATTGAAACATTCTAAAGGAGAAAATGAATTAATATTTGATTATTAATATTAATATTAATTTGAGAATTAATATTTGACGTACAAAGTCAGGGGTCGTGAGTTCGAGCCTCGCTCGGGTCGGTTATTTTCCCGCACTCTCTATTAATAATATTTGATTGTTGAATGATGCAGATGACAAGACATACTTACTTGTAAACAGGCAGCATAATTGGCAGCGGCTCAGCTAGATGTGGAGCGACATTTAAAAGGTTGGCACGCTCGTGAAGAGCTTCCTTTACCATTTTGTACTATAGAACGAAATTTAGACTTCAAACAGAACTTCAATAAGAGATTAAGTTTTAATAGATAACAGGAACATACTGGGCAAATATACCAGTAAAACATGATGTTGTAAACCGGGGTATGGCAGGGAGGGGTACTTCCATGGTGTTATGATGACAGTATGAGGGGAAGGGGAATTTGTACAAAGATTGCTGTTTCCAAAACAAATCCTAAAACATATTTGGACAAGAAAATCTTCAAATCAACTGCCAATTAAAAGTATTTGCTGCTTGGTTTTACTCAAAGCAATGATATTGCAGATTTCAAAGTATTTTTGGAACAGTAAATAGCCAGTCACAAATATTCATCTGATTTTTCCATTAACCAGCAACTGATTTAAAGACACATACCTCTACTATATCAAGGTTAAAGACAGCTTTTTGAAGGTATCGGACACCCCCATGTATCAATTTTGTGCTTCGACTGCTTGTACCACAAGCATAATCATACTTCTCTACCAAGGCAGTCTTCAGTCCTAAAGAGTTATCAAAAGAATAACATCAGCAGTGATAGTGAAATAACTTGACAGGTGACTGTGATACCAAGAAAAAAATTCTAGAATAACAAAACTTCTGTAAGGATTTATTTAACTTTCCTTAAAAACGTTGGAATTGTTTCAAAATCATTTTAAAGGGATAATCCCCACATTGGACCAGGGATTAGTGCTATGCTCTCATTTTTGTCCAAGGTTGGATTAAATTACCCTCCTTGCTATCAATTTTGACCTTCAAGTTTATAAAAAATATTACTGATCAAGAGATGCCAATATGAGAAAAGACGTGCAATTTGGGCTTTTATTTTTGGTACAGATAGCATGATTTTGGAGTTTGTGCTCACTGTAGCAGTGCCCATAGTGTCTTTTATGGGCCAAAGCAACAAGCGTACACGTGTGCATCGGCCTTAGGTATATATAAAATTTATGTTGGCATTCTTCCTCATAGTTTCTCCCTCACATGCTGCAAGATACGCATAGTTTCTTCCTCACATACTGCAAGACAACCTGAAGTGGGACAGTGGAGAACAAAGCTTTTTTGCAACCCTGCCTACCCAACCCATGTCTTGGTACTTTTCGGTTTTTATTGGCAGATGAACCATGTATTTATTTTCTTTGTGCATTGGTCAATAGCCAAATCGTTTGCAAATTTCGTATGAACAAAATGTTGCTATTCAGCAAAGGAGGCCTTTATCTCTTCTTCGCAATGACTTCGCACGAACAAAAATAAGTAATGGTTTATTTATTGCTTTTTTGCGATAGGCACACCGATTGCTCTAGATGATGAGAGAATACCATCTTCAATCAGGTGACACGTATGGTATCCCAGACCTAATATTAAATAGCAAATTCATTGAACCAATTATATACATAGCATTTTTAAATAATGCTCACAGTCAGCTGATGATCAAAATTTGGCTAAAGCAAATATAAACGGCCAGGTCGAAAACGCGGAAAACGTGGAACAACCTTGCGAAATCGGCTGGGAAAAATTTCTGCGTTTTCAATTTTGAACCAGGGTGAAAATCGAAAAAGCGGATATCGGTCCCAGCCGATTTCACAAGGGGTTTTCCTACACAATCGTGCCTGTGCTTGTTAAGAAAAGGCGGCAAACGCAGAATTCTCATTCCTTAAAAAAAGGTCTCATATTTCAATTCTTGAAACAGCTCTGTCGCTTTGTTAATGTATTTGCATACTAGAAGCTTAAAGCAAAATTTTACTTTTCAGCATGTTCCACGTGTTCGATCTGGCCAATATAAACAAATGGAACAGCCTTGTTGCAAAAACATTTGGAATAAAAAAGCCATGGTAACAATACATAGTTACTCCCAACGGAAAAAAACTCCTGATATATACAAATGGCACTTCTGATGTGACTGCATTATCAGTAAACAGGTCACTGACAGGTTCACTAGAATGATGTTCACAACTACGAACTACCACCCTTCTTCCAACGCAGCAGTTCAATAAAATGACTGCTTTTTGCTGCATTTCTTGGTTTTTGTGCCGTGCCAGAGCCATCATTGACCATGGGCTCAGCAGTGGTACATTCTCCAGCTTATATCTAGCTACAAACCTCTCTATTCCCTCATTATCACAAATATTATTGATCTCTTCATATATTTATTTCCATTTTCAAGTTCTTCGATTACAGAATGTGCACTTCTCTTATCTTTAGCACACAAGGGTTTACTGGAAATGCAGACAACTTTCCCAAGGTCTTGTAGCATCCTTTGTTTTGGTACAATCCATATGGCATCATTTGTGTTGATTTTCCCATGGTCACAATCTTGGTATATCACATATTGTTGATCAACTCTCCTATACAATTTCCTTACCGAAAGGCTAAGTTAGATATCAAGTTGGCACACATTTTGCACACTCTAGAATGCAAGCACATTCCATACACTTCTATGTTCCTGATCCCTCTTTAGACAATGGGAGCAGGCAATAAACAATCAAGTGGCAGAATTGGCACCAGCTTTCATTGCATTGGGGGTTTTCAGTAACAGGGCACCTCACATATTCCTTGTGAGGGAAGGGCTATGACCCCATAAATGTTTAAGGGAAGTTTATGGGCATATTGTTATCTTAAAGATTTATAGCCCGTTGTTTTATTCACATCATAGCATTTTGAGAAATCTGGAAAATTGATGTGATGTGAACTCCTAGATCCGCCCTGTTCCTTATGTCTCTCTTGTCAAAAAAGCAGCATAATTTTGCAGGCTCAATATTTTAATGTGAGGCCAAAAAAGCAAACATCAAAACTGTACCAAGAAGTTCAACAGACAAAAGAGTAAATCAGAAGGAGATAAGGTCACATTTGCATGTGCTTTTAAGGGGGATAAACTGGATTTAAAAAGTAAGAATGACTACAGGCCCTCCAAACGCAATATGCTCAGTGGCAAGAACAATATTGATGGCAAAAACTGCTGCCTGTATAAGCCAAAGAAACATACAAAAGTGACCTCATAAATGATTCAAATAAACATACCCCTTGTCACAGCATCTAGCGCAACCCCACATCCAGTGGCACCACCTCCAATGACAAGAACATCAAACTCACTTCCATTTTTCAGGTTACTCAGCAAAAGTTCCCTAACAAAAAGATGTTTTAAAAAAAAAGTAATTTTGAGATGATAAAGCAATTTTGGCAAAAAGTAAAAACTAGGATATGTAATATATTTAGTTTAGAAGATGTGATCACATTGGCAAAAAATGGCCTAAACTGAAATGAAGACCCTCTTCACCTCTTTACAAACTGCAAGGAGTCCTAAAAACGGGGATATAAAAATACCATGGATATAAAATACATGAATTTCAAAATAAAGGCTTATTATGGCAAGTTTAAAAATTTTAAAAGGAGCAAAGTTTGACTTGGATGGTTTGACACCAGAGGTAAGAGAGGGTTTATGTCCTGTACATCTCACTAGCAACTTTTCAAATTGATTGAACTATGAAATTATTGGGTTCAATCACAAACAACAAAAAGCTAAAAACGTCTTTGAAATACTCTGACCAGCAAAAGAAGGATGATAAATAATCAGAAGGTGTCACTTGTAAATGTTTTAGATGAGATCCCAAACATAATCAACTATAGAAAGTACATATAACCAGCCTTTGGTACTGTCTAATCTGAAGATAGAAGCATTAAATAGCAAGTTCAAGTATATTTTTTCTGACACTTTTCAAGAGTATAAACATCACAAAATTACCAGAAAGGTAAGCAGAAATTTATATCCAGGGACCAATCAAAAGAAATGCGAGTAAACAATGACATATTGTTTTGTTCCTGACTTTTGACCATTCAGCGACCACTAAAGCCTACTTTCCATTGAGCGAAATACAGTCACATGAAACCTGTGAATATTTCGAGTGACAATCATTTATGCTTTCCATTGCAGCAAAAATTTGGCACTCCACAATCATTCCTGCCAAATTTCAAAGGATTCAAAATGGCTGCAATTAATCAAAGATTGCTTTTAAAATTGCCTTCCATAAATTTGTTGCAGATTGTTGCGCTTCTTGTGCAATTTTACTATTTTGGGCCATCCTCTGAATAAAACCGGCCAGATCCAGCCCAAAACTGTGTACTGCAAAGTGGATTCCCTCTAACTTTGCATGCCTGTTGTCACACGAACAGTTAAAATGTTGAATATTTCTCAACTTTTCTGCAACAAACCAAGGCCAATCCAAGGCAGCCACATTAACAGCACATGCTCAGAATACAAATACTTGCAAAAGCAAATGAAAACTGAAAAGCAATGCAATAAGTTGGGTGGAAATCTGTGTCCAAGTCAGTGCCTAATTTAAGGGACTTTCACAATACCACTAATTATGGCTAAAAATGTTAGGCCCCTCAAGGAGGGCCCAGAACATTTTTAAAACTGAATGCCCTAGATTGGCTAAAAATGCATTTCTGAGACATAAAATGATTGGAATATGATGTGAAAAAACACCTCATGGAGGAATGAAATTTACATTTACTTTTAAGTTTTTTTAATAAACATAACGCATAGAGAGTCACAACTAAAGCCACACTACACAAACTAACCTGGGTTCGCCCTAGGTTAAATATAACCTGGGTTGAACCCTGATGCGTTTACACTGGAAACTGTCAACTTTGTGGTGTAAACGGAATCAAGGGCAAACCTGGGTTAGTTTGATATGGATGCATGCGGAACAAAGACAAATTGAAGGTGAGGATAAACAAAATGGTGTGCATTGTGTTTATGAACTTTACAAAATACAATAAATCCACTTTACAAACAATTATTCCCAGTTTTCTTGTCAGGCACTTCCTCATTTAAACTAGAACAAAAACTTTTCTTTGCTTCACTTTCGTCAGTTTTCTTTAACCAGTTTAGCATTTTAAAGAAAATAGTCAAATAGAATTTAAATAAGTTTCATAACAACTGAACTACTGCAGTCATTCAGCATTCCAAGGATAGATTGAAAAGACCAATTCGACTTACGGCCACATTTTGAAAAATTCTTCAAATTATTTTGTACAAAATTTTTGACCTCAGATTTGGATTGTGAGCAATGATTTTAGTATACTTGGAAGTTTTCATTATGGTATTGCTCATGATATTGATTTTCTTAATGTTATTCCAGTGTTTTCATAAAATTACTGACTTGCTCATCAGTAAATGATGGACTGTTATATTTGAGTCCTTTTAAAATATTGGCTAATTCAACTCCAGACATTATGTCAGTCTGAAAACAATATTCCCGGAATCCTTTAGCTGTTTAAGTGGCAAAGCAAGGTTTAAAAGATTCGAAAAACCTTTCAATTTCAAGGAAATCCTTCCACTAATTCCTGATTTCAAGACCACAATTTGGATTTTCAAAACCCTATTATATAAGCAATATACAGGACCTTACTAAATTAGGCACTGGTCCAACTTATTGCATTGTTTGCGGTCATGATATTGTGGTCTGTTGAGAAGAGTGTTTATGCTTGATCAAGTTTATTCAACAAATTCCAAAAAATTATTTTGCTCTGTGGTAGTATTGTTTTTACCCTGAGGGGCTTTATAAATCACTCTCCAAGACTTGATGGAGTGCCTTTCCGGGCAAGGCCTGATGCATACCTGCGTAAGAGATACATACCTTGTTGGGAGTGGTAGCTGTGTACTTCCTACAGTTGATGCAACACTGAGTTCATTTAATGCCTTCAAATCTTGATTATGTGACTAAAAGATAGACAAATAAGACTGTGAGAGCAAACCACATTTTTTTGGCTCACATTTTGTTTTAAATGAAAAAATTTTGAAAGAATATCAAGGCTATGTTCTTGGGCAGACCATCCACCTCTCCAGCTTAATGTTGATATCCTTGCTATTTACGGCCATACACCCCAAAATTGAATGGAGGGAAGTCAAAGTTACAAAGAAATTAAGTAAAGGTAGGAAAGGTTTGAAATTTAGCCCTTTTTTACCATGTTCATTGTGCCACTTAAAAAGATCTAAGAATTATTTCAGGCTCACAATCAGAGGCAGCAGAGGCAGTGGCCTCCATTGCCCTTGCAAAAATTGAGTATTTCTCCCCATTTTACTGTCCCAGTTGCCCTCTTTGAGTGCAGGGTCCCCTATCCATCGATCAGTGTATTCTTGTCTCAGTGTTTTTGTATCTATGATCACATCATGGCTACTATTAATGCATTCGCATGAACTTTTCAATGATCATTCCTATTTGGCGCTCCATACTCAAATACATTTTTCTCCAAAAAACACCAAAAAATAATTTTTCTCTATTTTTTAATACTTTTCTTATATTTGAGACCCAAAAAAATAAGAATTCAATATAATCAGAAAAAGTAACTGTACAATTGACTGGCCCAATAAATAACTTATGCACAAAATAAAGACCCAAAAAATTGCATGAGCACCACTGTCCTAAATAAGACGAGTGAGCCTGGTTCATTTTTTTTTGTTTATTGCACAGCAGCAAAGCTAGTTGTTACTGCACACGTTACATGCATACCTCATCTATACGTTCTTTCAATTTCAACGCTCCATAAGCTCCAAGAGTGAATGTCCCAGCTCCTGCTGCAACCCTCAGCATATCGCTGGCAATATTTCTGTTGAAATTGCGGCGAGTATTGAAGAATTTGTGCTGGGAACTTTCAGCAATGTACCGCAGTTTATAATCCTTCAATTTTTATTTCACTCTGCCAATCCTCGGTTTGAAACCGAGGACGATGTTGAGTGACCAGTCGCGAAGAGCATGGTGGCCTAAAATTGGAAAACATTTAATTACACACTAATAAAATGAGTGAACATGCGAAGTTAGAGGTGAGTTTTAGGTCTCGAAAATTATGTATTAATCGTCAATATACATGCCCTTGATTAAATTACCAGCGTTTATTCCTTGCTTACGCCAAAAACGGTAAGAATTTTACCAAAGGTTTGGCACATTATAATTCCGTCGATTCGATGCAACGATGATGAAAACAACTCCCGCTCGACCCCTAGCGAACACCTTATAATAAGGTTGAGATGTTAACTTGACTTTGATACAAGTATTTTACAGAGTAACTATACTGAAAACTTTGCAGGTCACAGTCCCTATGATGTTGACAACTTTCAGTAGGTTATTCCTCAAATATTCCTAAGAAATTTCAAAATTTGTAGATGAATAAATGGAACCCTGCTACATGTATTTTCGATGAGTCACTGATATCAAATATGACAGCTATTACATTAAATAAAGTTAAATTATTTGGGGGCAATACTAGAGTCAACTTGCCACAGATCTTATTCTAAATATAACTCTGAGCTGGAGGAGAAGGATTATTGTGTTTTCTAAGAAATTGTATGCATTTTCTCAGAAATTGCTTTTGTTTTCGGAAATTATAATGTGTTTGACTGGTCTGGGCCATTGCACTTGATAATGCATATAACATTGTATGTACGATAACCACATAATTTGTTAGTTATGAGCAGGTGTATAATTAAACTGGAAGCTAAATTAGATTTAAGCTTGCACAAGGATCTTTGATTCAGACTGGATAGTGTTTCAGGGACGTAAAAGTTTGCTGCAATTGGTCTAGATACTTTGTGCCTTTTTCACAAGCACTCTTTATGTTAAGAGGAATTTAGATTTGAAAGAACTGATCCAGAACAGCTATCATAATGTTTGCTTGGTTTATTTTTCTCATTAAATAGAAAAATTCATCATGCAATTGAGCTACTTGGCATTCATTCCATTTCAAATTATTTAGAATTGACTGTATTGCACTTTCTGCCACCTGAATAGGTCCCAACCAGTTTCCATACTTATTTCACATTCATCTTGCCTCAGACTTATTTCACATAGTTTTGTTTTGATTTTAAAGATTAATTTTAAATTAAAGTTAGGGAAGTTGGAGCTGTAAAGCTTCATTGAAAAAAAATGAATATGGCCAGATCCACAAGAATAATTACAAAAAAGGTTGCAATCTTTAAAGATTGTAAACACCTAAAACTGCTTTGTAAATCATGTATATACTGACAATTAGCATCAAAGGAAAAGTAAGCTACATATACCACACTTGGTTGTGCTTTTGTACTTTAGGCTAGATTTTATGTTTTTAAAATCTCAAATAATCCTTTCTCAGTCTTTTTTATATGAAAAAAGGCTGCATGTGGTATTTTGCACATCTTGATTACTTGGTGCCTGCAATAGCGTGTGATGCAAACAACTTTTTTATCTGTCGTTTCTCATTTCTGTTGCCAAGAACTGGGTGCTGCTTTCAAGGAGACCTTTTGTGTTACAAACTGAACGGAAACCAAGGAAATTTACGTAAAATATTATGTTAACGTTCAATGTGAGTAAATTAGAAGTTCATAAATTTTCTAGGAAGTAATTATAGGTAGAATCATTTTGTATATAATAATTTGAAGATATCTGCATTGAAAAGAAACTAAATTGCTCGTAGACCCTACCATCTGTTGAGAAATGACCATGTAGCATCACTGACTTCAATATAATTGTTATCGTAGCGGATATTCATAAAAAGTTACTGTTAGAACAGCGTTTTTCCTGATAATATGGAATTCAGCATGACACAAAGGTCAAAATGAACACACTTTATTTGAGCCTAAAAACAATTTTTTATAGTTCTTTGTCTTAAAAATGGTTATTGTTCAAAAATAGTTTGAAAGTATTAAAAAACATTACAGTCATTGTCACTTTCTTTTTCTTTAGAGCTCTCTTCAGTTTCCTCCTTGGGTTTCTTTGATAAAGCGATGCCTTACGCTTTGTGTTCTTTGAAAGATAGAGCTCTATTGCCCTTTTGAAAATATTTTCTCTTTCTCCATCAGTCCATATATTATCATTGGTTGCAAAACTAAAGCGCATCTCCATAAAATTGTCTGACATTCATAGTCTTCTATCCAACATTAACATCATGCTGAGAATACTGAATGTTCTCTGTACTGAATAATTTTATCCAGAGGTCCCAATCATTATCTGTGCCAGAATGCAGAGGTTGGGGAACTCATCTGCCCTGTAACAAAGCATATTTTGCCATGACAGCTGTCTTGCTTCTATTCCCAATCATTCCGTTCTTTCCCCAACCAATTAATGTTGCCAGCTCCAGTTTGTTTCCTTTCACCATGATCACCGAAGAACAGAATAATCAAATGAACAATGAAGACATCTCTTGGATCGAAACTTTACATCACAGAGTTTTTAAAGCTAATAAAGCACCATGTGTCGATTGCAGATAACTTCCCTTTGGCAACCCCATCGTTGAATAACTGATATATTAAGCGATCTTGTCTTAACTACTTTATGATGCTGTTGTTGAATGGGATTTCCATATGGGAATACTTTAACAACACTTTGGAAAAACGACAGAACAACCCTTGAATATGGCAACTTTATTAGAAATCTTTGAAACATATGCAATTTTTAAGAATTTTTTATGACAAATACTTTGTTTTGTGCATGCGAGGATTTGCACGCCTTGGACATTTTGGGCGTGTGTGGAGGCGTGCACGTGCGATCGTGCACCTAATATTACAAAGACTGCTTTCTGTCCATATTTTGCTATTCAATGTCATGAATTCAGATAGGCTGGAAAAATTTCCTCTGAGTTGCTGTTTGTATTAAAGTTCAGTGGCCTTCTCAGTTTACATCATTCAAGTGAATTTGAAGTGTAGTTTTGCTGTAAGAAAATCGTGAAGTGCTAGTGTTCCTATTTGCCTCCTCTTTTAATCAGTAAATTGAATATATAGACAATTCAACTAAAGCAGTTACTATTTTTAAGTGAATCCTTGTGAAATAAACCTGCTGGCATTTGTGCTGTGTTTTTATAACTCTCATTTAAAATACGCAGTGATTAGAAGTTTTCACTCTTTTTTCTTGTTTTTCTATACACCTGTCCTCTTTCAAGATACTGAGCATAGAAAAATTTAGGAATAATTTTGAAACTGATTTCAGGTGAAGGGTAATGACCTATACCCCAGAAATACTTTGAATTAGAGAGTTTCAAATTGCCCTTGATTCACAAGTATTTTAATCTTGTTGATGGTTGAGTAAAGAAAATAGGTTCATGAACATGCCCAAGATTTTTAAAACAGCAGTCTTTTTACGTGGCATAGTTTGTTCTTAAAGTTTGAGATTTGGTCTCCAGCTACTATCACACGTATCAGAGCTTTATTTGCACATCTTAGTTTCTTCAAGTAAAATCCTTTTTGAGACATAGAATCTTGACAAACTGCTCTACATTTATAGGCTAAAGGAGATCAGAAGGAGACAAAGGAAAAAACAAGGAATGCTACTGAGGAATCTGCAAGTGAGTATATAGCCTCGTAAACAGTTGCCTGATTACCTGTCCAGTTCTATACACCAAGTATACAAAAAAGCTTAGACTGGTAGTCAGATTAGACTTTCCAAGACTTTGCCACTGGACAGATTTGGCCACTGATTACCAAGACAAACACATTGCTCTTTCAGTTTCTGACCCTGCTCCTCTGGCAGTTCCAACCTACACTCCCTTGTTCATCATATTCTCTTGATGACGTATCACAGACTTGCTGTTTAGATGTGTCATTGATTAGAATCATACCTAAAGCATCATGTTAATGATTCTTTATTTGCCTATCATGCCAATTGATGCTCAGTGCTGTGACTTTAAGTCCGCTAATAAATGTTTTCGTATTGAAGGTGTCCTTTTTACAGAAATTGATATTGGCCATTGAATTTTTAGCAGAAACATGAAAAAGTTGACTAAAAAAGTTATTTATGATTCCTATGTCCTTAGACATTTGTAGTTTCACAATTTACAATCCATTAACATAATCTACAGAGTTTTTTTGAAAGACAAGCAAAATTTTCAGTTGATTGAAAAATCATCATCAGGTATTTATTTATTCTTTCAGCAGAGGTTATTCCCAAAACTGAGACAGATGACAAGGAAGCTGAGGAAAGTGATGTTATAGTCGAAAATGAAACAGAAGATGGCTACAGATCTGATAGATCAGCTTCAGACGATGGAAGTACAGATGCAGTAACAGAACGGAAGAGAGAGAAAGGTTCAAGTGGGTATGAGGAAAGTGGTGAAGAGGAAGAAGGCATATCAGAAATATCAGAAGGTATTCTTCATAGGAGATATGATTCATGTTGACTGATTTGATCGAAGTGCAAGAGACTAGAAGCATTAACAATTTATATGATCGTGTGCCATTCAAAAGCCCTTTGGTGCAAGTTGAATGAAGAGAGTACAAGTCCAATTTTTATTTCATCAGCCCTCTTGAATTTTCCGAGTTGTACAAAAAATCAATAAAACAGTTAAATTGAGAAGGTACTCTACAAGCTCTAAATAATTAGAGATATAGCTGAAGCTTGTAGGTTTACATAGAATTGTTGGTTTATTACAGTCATATTTAAACTCTGGATTGTATTTAACAATCATCTTAGGTCGCAGGGAAAAACGGGAAGAAGAGGAAGATGAATATGACAAAGAAGCCACTGGGGATGCATCAAGCGGTGATGATATTAGTGAAGGTGTGAAAGAAGATGGTTCTGAAGGTTATGAGGAGGATACAGAAGATGAAGAAGAAAGTAGAAAAGAAGATGGAGCTGAAGGAGATGATGAAGAGGTAGAATTGTGAATTTTTGCCTGCTTTTGCCCCTCAGAGTAATTTGGTACATCATCTGTTGTTGTCAAATGTTGCCCAAACTGGCTCTGGGTTTTGGTTTTTCAATTGCTTCTATCGCTTTGCTGCATCAATGCTTCATTTTAATATTTATACCCTCTTGCATTTTATGGTCAATACTGCTTACAATACTTAATCAACTTTTTCACTTTATAACTGCTTTAAGGAACAACTTGAAGATGAAGTCGAAGATGTCAAAAGCGCGTCATTTGTGCCAAGGAGAACTGGTTTTTGGGGACATGATGATCGACATGATACTAAGCCTATAGAGGAATCAAAGTAAGTTTCAAGTGATTTTCACAAAAATTTCAAAGAAACTTCTTCTTTGCATGAATTTAAAGGCTCTTGTGCAACTGGCGTGCTTAGTCTTGATCAATTGAATGTGCTTTGCAGGCGATTTTTTTTTATATTCTCATAAAATTTACAATGACAATCAATTACAATACAAAAGCCTAGGGAGCATGGAAATGCATAACAACCCTAAAACTCACACTTAACATAGAGAAACAAATATTACAATAATAAGCTACAAAAGTGATTGGAGTGGTGTCGCCCATCGTTCCAATAGCGTTGCAGATATGACAAATACCCACAAAAAGCTATTTTAAAAGGAGATATCAAGTCTACCTATGCAGGCGATTGCTGTACTTTGAGATTTTTTTAGATACCCGAGACGTGGAAAGAATCGGCAGCTATGGGATAAAACGTCTGAAAGGTGGGAACATGATATGTTCAAGGAGGAGATGCAAGGCCCAAAAGAGTCATGGGAGATTGAAGTATGTTCTCTTTTTAGAAGAACCTCCTGTCTTTTAATATGTGAATTCTTCCTTTGAATTATCTGTTAAAAAAATCCGAATTCATAATTTATTATGTATGTAAACGCTTTCCGACTGTTTGAAGCTATGTTATTTTTTCAAAGATTTAGATTTTTAATGTAAAGAAAGGAATCTAGAAAGTCTCGGCCTGACTTAGTTAGTCATCATATTAGAAATCGTAAACCTTTGTAAACATACTGCATGCTACGAGCAAGACAACAATCGTACCCTTTCGGTTGTTATTTCACAGAACTTGATTTATACCAAAGAGCTTTTCAACCATGTAGCTTTTCCTGAAGAATATTCCTGTTTTTTAGTTAGAGAGGTTCAGTGTTGTGTTGCCTTAATATGAAATGTTGTTTTCAAAAGGAATCGTTAAAAGAGCTAGAGCATCGACAGTCAAACAGAAATCGGAGGCAGTTTGGGGATTTCGTCGGTAATCGACGACGTGGCGGTAGTCGTGGAAGACGACAGCAAAGAGCAGAAAGAGAGGTTGGAGACGACGATTCGCCTGATTTCAGGGAAGAACGAGACAATGAACGGCGAGAGGTGCAACCAAGGGGAAGAGGACGTGCCCCACGTTTAAGAGGAAGACCCAGAGGAAGAGCCTCATTTAAAGGAGAAAGAAGGCATGGTAGGATGGACGAAGGCTACGGACAGGGAGAAAGGATAATGGATACAAGGCAAGAAGAAGTAGAGGATAAGCAGGAAGAAGAGAAGACAGTGTCTAAATCGGTAGATGATGCGGATGGAAGGATGCCAGCTGTTGAGGAGAATCAACAAGACCTGAAACACCAGCAGAATGATGACGATAAAGCTAAACAATTGGAGCAGCCAAAAGAACATAACAGACAAAGGAAGACCCCTCCAAGAAGGTAAAATGTCACTTTAGGCGATACTTATCTCTGCCTAAATCGTTGTATTGATGTTCGAATGTTGTTTTTGCGAAATACCGATTTTTGCGAATTGCGATAATTCATTGATGACAATTAAGAACGGAACTGCTCAGTCTTGGAACTTTCGTTGTTGCACGGCTTTAGTCCAACCTTTGGAGGGGGTGGGGGGGAGTGCCTTAATAGTTTTTAAGGTATGTGGACGTGCCATTATTTAGGGGTACCTTTTCTCTGAAAAGATTTTTGAAAGATTCTTCAGTTTTTGAAATATGTGTGGAAATATGGGTACCATTTGAAGAAGATGCGGAATTTTGGGTACAACTTTTCAAATATTGCAAAATTATTAGGAGGAAATTTAGCATAAACAAAATGAATGCAAAGTACACACAAAATTTGCTTGATGATATTGTTTTGCCTTGAAAAATGCGGAATTATGGGTATAGTTTTTATCATGTTTGCGGGATTAAGGGTCACATTTTGTCAAATATTTGCTGAATTATGGTTCCAAATTTTGAACCAAAACTGCAAGTCTCCGTCAAAAGCTAGGCTTTTCTGATTGTCTGCAATGGATTCTTATACAAAATATATATATATACAAAATATACAAAATACAAATGGTGACATACAGAAACTTTGACCTCATTCTTTGCTCTGTATTTAACCGCTTTTCAGAGAGGAGATCGGGATGGTTGATCGGGACCTAGTCTGTTAAAATTTTTGTTTCAAGATTTTGGACAGCAATCAGAGTTTTAACTTGACAGCACCAATTGTATCGTTATTTTTTGTCGTAGTCCAATAGTTATTTCAATAGGAATCTATCTTTATAATTAGAAAATAATCAGTCAGCTTTATCTCATAGCTTGAAGCTTGTTTCTCTATAATTGGGTCCTTTCAAATTTTGAAGAAAAATTCCCTTTACTACCTATAAGCTGGTTACAGTTATTCTGGTAATGGGTGTGTTATGTTACCAGGACACAAGTTGGTCAAAAAGACAAAGCGAATGATAGCCAAGATCCTAAAGGGCGTGCCAAGGGAGTTACGTCACAAAAGGTATCAACTGCAAAGAAGATGGCAACAGAATTTAATGTTGAAAAGAAGCCGACTCCAGACGACGAGGAGGAAGAAGATCAGAAGCAGGAAGGTGCCGATGTTTTTGAATAAAAATAAAAACTTTCAGAATAAGTCACTATAGGTTGTTTGTCAGCATTCATAAGTTGGTATACATGTTTAGCTATGAAAAACTGCTATTATTAGGTTCATGTACAGGATAGGTTTACAGGCATCAAAAGGGTTTAATAGCTTACCAGTAATTGGCTCAGCCAGCAATGCTATTTTGCTTCTAATTGAGAATGTAAATTTAGATGCTTTTTCTAGGCGTAAAGGAGCCTTGAATTATTTAAGGTTGTATAAAGTTAAGGTTTAGTTTTTATATGATTAATGAATGATCGAAGCACCTCTAAAAGACAACACCTTCCTAAATCTTCAACATGACGATGTAGGGTTGTGAGTTTGTTCCTCATTGCCTTGTGACTAACTCCTGTTGCATTGATTGCCTTCTCCCAGCTGAGTGGACAGAAGGCGTGCATTTAACCCATGGATAAGACCTGTATTGAAAAAATTAAACCCTCGCCACTGCAGCGGAACATTGGTCAATTATCTTACTCGGGAAGCTAGACATATTCATCTCAAACAATACGCAACCTTCAATTAAAATACAGAATGTAATATATCTTATTGTCAGCGTCCTTTTTTGGTTTTAGCCAATGTGTCTCTTACCATTGCACGCTTCTAATTGTCTTCAGCAGTTCTGCTGTAACTCCATTACTTTGAGCTGCTTATCTGAATAACTAAAACCTTTGAGTGCAAAAGTATTTTTAAAAAGTGTTTTAAAAACTTTTATTGTTTTTAATGATGTTTTTTAAATCTTTTGGTTTATTAACTTTTCAATGTTTTTGATCAAATTAAAAATAACGTGATGAAAACGGTCATTTTTTCATTCTACAGTCCACGCTGATGAATCGAAGAAAAATCATCCTGCGGCTAAACCAAAGCGGTATTCATCGCAGAGGCAACGAGGCAACGCTTCAGAAGATGCGCAGTATCAAAACCAGGTTGAATCAACTATTCAAGAGGGAGAGTACTTTAACCAAATGTCCCCACAAGGTTTGTTTCTAAAAGGTATTGAGTCAAGGTAATTCGGTTCCAGCGTGATTGTCGAGGTTCGTGTGATGTCAGCATCCGTTGTTGACAACTCGCTCTTGACTGAAGCTGTTTTGTATATCAAAACGAGGCAACATCACGTGATCAGTGCTCGGCCAACCAATAGCATTACAGCACGAAAATCATGACTCGACATATTTGGGTACTAGTTCAATGCCTTTGAAACGTATTTGATCTTTATACGACAGTGTCAACGGGCACATGTAAGCACTGAAACAAGCATTAATCATCCACAGGCTAAATTTTTATATCTTATCGTTGCATTAAGAAATATATGGTTGAAATGGAGTCCTAACATGCACCAAATTACTTTAACCAAGCATATTAACTTATGATCAATGCTGTTCACACCATAGTGCATGAAATAACTATCAAAATAGTGAATTTCAAGAGGGACCGATTGTCTTCAAAGGGACCGATTGTCTTTAAGGGGACCGATTGTCTTTAAGGCTGAAGCTCAAAGCGATAACTTAGAACCAGAGGTGGAAAAAGTATCAAAACCTGGGAACGTATTTCCCAGAAATTTTTCTGGATGAAAATATTAGCAGAAAGTTTCACAGAAAAGTTTTGAAGTGTTAAAGTAACTGTAAAAATCTGGTGACATGAGTTAAGTCAAATCAGCATATAATTTTATTTCAACTTGCCTGTGAGCAGCTAAATATGAGCTGCCAATGGACTGTAGGGCATAGTCTCTTTCCATTGGAAACAAATTCTTTGTGCACATTATTTACATTCACCATCTCACAGAAATCTCAACCACTCACCATCAAAAATCTTTTTGGCAGCTGAGCTTTTGAGACAAACCATTGTCTAGACTGAGATTAATATAGGGACTGGAATCTACTTTCAAAGAAGTTATTTCTTGCACTATGGTGTGAACAGCATTGATCATAGGTTAATATGCTTGGTTAAAGTAATTTGGTGCATGTTAGGACTCCATTTCAACCATATATTTCTTCACACTTGTCAAAGATTAGGCTGTGTTAAGCCTTCTCCATAAAATGCACCATACAATTCAAATGATTGAGCCCCTGACTCTTCTGAAACTATGTTTGGAGATTATTGCCTTCTGATTCCGGTTTTTCCATCACGATGATTGACTAAATGCATCAATTTCTGGCTAAATTTGATTTCCCTCTTTATGTGCATTTATACTTCAAGTGAAGCCATATCCAATATGTTGAGTTAGGCCTACTCAGAGTCAGTTTCATATAAACGTCTTGAATTTCTTCAGCTAAATACAGTATTGTAGGCACAAACAGAACGTTTGTTTGTCTACCCCTTAAAATCTTGCAGAAAGTTTTGAGCCAGATACTTAGGTTCCCAGAAAGAAAAAATTATTCTCCACCTCTGCTTAGAACAGTCATGCTCAATTCGTTCGTTCTTTACATTAAACCGTGTACTGCTCCTCCCATACGGCAACAATAGCTTCGTGGCATGCATGGTTTATCCATTATTGCTGCTATTGGCATTTAGGAAATTCGTTTGTTCCCTTGTTTGCCAAGTACAAGGAATGATATAATATAATATAATATAATATAATATAATATAATATAATATAATATAATAT